AGAAACTTGCTCCAATAGAGCATTTATCTATCAAGTAAGGATTATTAACAAAAATAACATTAAGCAGAGAAGAGGAATTTTCTGTATAAAATGTAGGAGACCAAATCATTTGGGATACATTAAAGATTTGTAGCAGTTCACGTAAATGTGAACCGGACTGGCTATTAGTAAATTAGCGTTTAAGTCACCGGTTAGAATGATATTGTCACACCCAGTTTTAAAACCAAGTGAAATATGGTCCCATAGAGTGACTGGAGAATTGGGAGGCCTGTAAAAAGTGCAATAGAGTACAAAGGTACCTGCTTAATTGAGTTCTACCCACACGTTTTCAACAGTAGGTAGCTCTAAATCTGAGCAACGCCTAGCGGGTATGTCGTTTTTAACTTACACGGTCTGATTTAATATGACAATAAGGGTCGCAATTACTTAGAAAGGTAAAATCTGCTAAGCTGTCATTGATGGTGGGCCAAGATAAATGAATGATAGTTCACATTATATATATAATTAAGACAAACATGATGTAGTTCCGAAAATAATATGTCCATCTTATTCCGGAGACTATTGAAATTCAACTGTACAAACGAACACTTCGTACTGCCATAGTAGTCGGTTGCAGTACTAGATAGAAAGGAAGATTCGGAAGAACTATTCAAAGGGCCTGGATTTACCTGAATATAACCGGATATTATACACAACAAGTGAATTACACACTGCAGAAAATATGCAAAAATATCTGAGTTCTCTCACAAAATCCCAGACAGCAACGAGATCTGGCGTTACTTTAAAAGATGTTGCAGAACTTCGAAAAAGGTTTTCTGTTTAATAATCCTATCCGAGCACGGTATAGCGGTAATGATATTGGCATTATGTCACATCAGTACTGGTTTACAAAAGCGTGAAACAGTGGTGTTCTCGAACAACGCTACTGTCATGTAAATGAGAGGACCAGGGAGAGTTTGGGGTTGGGTTTAGAAAGAATAAATAAGTACAAGATGGACAACATCGAGGTTCATGTACGAGGTCACAGTTCATATTCTAACTTTTGTGCACGGGTCAGTGCGATGGTTCTATTGAGGAATGAGATATGTCACAACGAGGGGAGGCAGACTACGCTTATAAATATATGTACATACAACAGCACATGGTTAAACATATGTCATTAACATATCTTATTAGTGGTGCACATTATATCTAGCAAAGGTTACCAATATGGTCACAATGCTGACGAAAACAGCAAATCATATATTCCCTGTTCGCCTAGTATAGGTTACTTTTCAAATTGGAGTTGGACATGTTTAGGTCACGGCGTCGTTCACATGGCCTCGTGACATGTTTGTAAATTACCGACCATGGCGCGCGAAAATGTGCAGTACACATATACGTCAAGATCGCGAAGTAATAATATTCTGTTAGTGAAGCATATGGACACGCATGCGTAGTGTAGTGTACATATTGTCAACAAATTACCGAGATGATATAAGAAGGTATGTGCAATACATGTAAAGTTATATTACGCCAATGTAGTATTAGAGTTTTTGTAACCGTTGTTTACCTCATTAACAATATATCACCCCTGCTGTTAGGGGAGCGGGAAAAGAATACACCTGCTGTTACCCACTGCATGCATCGTAGGAGGAGACTAGCGTGGGAGACCCCTACAGACTTACGGATTTGCTTTGGTGTCCTCTATTTCGGGACAAAAAAACGATCAAAATACATCTGCTGCACCCATTGCAATATTTGGAATCGTTATCTTTCTATCTACTTCTAACTACCTTTTGTTTCTTAGTGCCTTGCTTGGCAACTAAAATATACCTAACTTATCATCGGTATACTGTACATGTATGTGTTTAAAAAACTGGTCAAAGTATTTCATATTTTTGGATCTTATGATATAAACTAGTCCAGGGGCCTAGTACACAGACAGATAGCCATACCCCCACAACCTGCAATGTGTATTGTAATACACATATATACTGATTGCGGGGTAAGAACGCAAACCTCTTGCATGTTCGATAAATAACGTTTTACATACGGTATCACGGAATGTGAATGTAATTTTATAGATGACAAAAGTATTCATGCTATAGATGTCAAAATGACACAGAATATCAGCTTCAAAAGTCGTATAGTATGATGTTAGATCATTTATATAGCACTTTATAATTGCATACTTTTCATTAAAAACTCCAGTCACTTGATATCCTAGCGCCTTGCTTAGCAACACCTCACTTTTGGCTTGAATGTTGAGCGTTTGCCCAGGTGAGGAAGGCAATGGGTTCTGTTCCCAGGCCGAGACATACAAAAGTATGTCAGTATAATGTGACCGGGCGGAATGTTGTGCTGGGTGCCTTCGGCATTGTGTTTCAGTGAAATAGCACTATAAAGTCGGCATCAGATTCGTACTATCACAAGAAGGCAAGCACACCAATATACCCTGTCTCCCTGATACTTTGGTATTAAATCTAGCTATTTATAGTGTCGTCCCTTCTTAGCACGGCTGCTTTTTTATTAAATAATTCATTAAAGAAAATCAAAGTACAACTTAAAAATTGTAGCTATAGTGATATAGTGTAACAATGATGAGAAAATAAGAAATTGGAAAGCATTGTATCTTTATGTATTGTATGAGAATATCAAAAGAAAAACTGAAACGTAAAAAGAAATATGAGAACACAAAACAGATGGATTTCTGGCAGTCGAGGCTGGTATTGGAAAAAAAGATAAGAGATCAAGAAATGGCGTAAAAACCTGTGTTTAAATAAAGACATAAACCAACCATTTCGAGAAGATCATATTGATCTAGCATTACAGCATTCTTTTGAGCTTTGATTATCCGTCTAGAGAACCCTCATTATACATAGAACGGACAGTATTACAGCTATGAAATACATCAAATAAGAAAAACACATTACAATATAAGTAAGCATCTATTGGTAAATAATTGCGGATACACTTGAGTGATCAACAACTCGATCTTGTTTTCAACTTACTTAACCGATATATATTCAGTTGTGTGACCGCACAACGCACCAAAAAAGGCGTGCGCACACCGTGCATACATCGTTCACACATCGTCCGCACATCGTCCACACATGGTGCGATTTAACAATCGTTCGCCTCGTTGTGCGCTTCTCTCCGCACAACTGTGCGATTGGATACAACATGTACATGTAGATCAATACAGAGTAAATGCCCTTTGTTGCACTTTGCCAAAATGTCGTGTGCGGAGCTTAGCTTTGCCAGCATTTAATCTAGGATCATGAAACTTGCTGAGTATATCAGTCATACATGTACTAAGGCGATGTGCACTGTACCAAATTTAGGGCGACCAACCTCTTATTTACAGAGTTATTGCCTTTATAATTTTGTCCACATTTAAGATAGGATCATGAAATGAAATTTAAAAAAGGCCCGTGTTTGAATTCTCCCACAAAATTAACTACCATTCATTACATATTCATAGACACACATAACTATCAGTGCTTAGAGCTGGCATATAGCAGAATACATTAATGATCAGTAAAATATGCCTTTATATTTCATAATTGAAGCATATGCTATGTGTCAGATACTTGTACAGATATATGTAACATGTGGAAACATTATTTTCTTCTTCCAAACTCCCCATTTTGACATATTTTTACCAATATGTGTCATAAATCTAACCAAATGCAACATTCACAAATAGGAAAAGGCTCCGATAAAGTTGTTTGCAGGGGGCATTCATCAGTTCTACTTATACTCTTGTGTTTTATAAAGATTTAAAATAAAATCAAGATATAGTTTGGATGGAAAAATACCATCCTAACCAATTATTATATACAAATAAAACCAAACAAAGTCCCTCGACTAGCTTTTTGCAACCACTTCATGGGTATTGTCAAAATCAACGTGAATCAGTTTAAGTAAGGAAGACAATTTTTGTTTGGTAAGTTCACGAATAAATTACCTTACCCCGGAATCTTACTGCATTTGTATCTTTCTCCAAATTAGATCAAATTTTAGGGTTGTATTTCGTTTATTGAAATCATGCATTACTGATAAGATGAACTTTGAATATCCCTCTGACTAAAAGTAGTAATTTAATGATAAAATATTTGAAAGGGAATAAGTATTTTGAGAAGTAAGTTAGTATCCTTTTTCAAACGCGCGCACAACAGAAGAGAATTGCACTAGTTTTTTTCCTGATCGTCCTTCACTTGTTTTTAGACATAACTGTAGCAGAACAGGGACATGTGAATATCATTGACCCGGAAGCTCAGTAGGGTAGAGCGATCGTTTTATTCACGGGTCCAGGCGTCGAGAGACTAGCCCGATTTTATTTTCATTCTTAGCTACATAGTACTGAACCTTTTTTTTTGGTTGGGCTTGATTTTCATTTAATTTGCAAATATTGTGTTTTCATAAAAGAGAGCAGTGCGCAGAAGTGTTGACAGTTTTAGTTTCTGTGCGCCACTTATCAAAAGAAAAAGATTATTTCATGAAGATGCACCCAGTTTGATTTTCTTTTTCAAGAAACAAAAACAATTTCATAACCCTGAAAAGGTCCATGGAAACATCCACAAGGCATTGGTATAGTCGCGCCAGAATAAAACGTGTATAATGCATAGTTCCGGGTTTTATGGTAGTGAAAAGGGATCCTTAGTTTCAGAACGTTCTTAGAGGTTAGATTTGAGATAGCAGGGCCGGAGTTTGTTTGAATAATTCCAATTATTTCCTATAAATGTTGGTGATCTGCTGCTTTTGCATCCGTTATCAGCGTTGCAACATTTGTCAAGTAATCAAGTTTCAGTTATCAAACACGATATTTGAATGTCTATCACCATAAAATTATATGAACTTTTTCTTGGACCTTTTGTGACTTTGTTATTTTCAAATCATTTGACAGAAGACAGCATATGATGCATGGAAATTAAACTCCCCTGGAGGGTCTGGTATTTCTTTGAAGTTTATGGGATTTTAAGTCTTTCTGTTTGTTTTGATGTCGTACTGGTTCCTGAAGTTGTTTTCTGGTGACTTCAAGACATTCTTTTCCGTTTCGCTCCTTGCCACATTCAGTGAAAACTGAACGATTAAATTTAAATGTTGCTGCTGATAAAATATGAAAATTGTCAATCGAACGTATGCTTGACATCTTGTTCATTTTTTTGTTCCTAAAAAATCAAAAAAAAAATAATCGGATATTATAAACCTGCATTCTGTCATTTACGCCACATAATTACTGGAGAAAACTCTATCAGACAAGACTCGAATACAAAGGTGTAAAAGCAAACGATGTACCCTTCGATTGACCAACACCCTCTTGGATTAGTAGTTAATATAAGGTTTTCAAGTTTAGTTGAAAACGTTCATGTTATTCCGTGTAGTAAAATACCACAATGTTCTTGGTTATTTGATGATGATATACAAATGTAACATTATGTGCGTTTACTTTAGAATGCTGAACGTTGAATATCACATCTTAAATCTATTAATAAATCCATGTAATTTGCAGGCTACTTACCCGTTTGACATTACATTTGAGCTGTTTTCCATCAGTATTGCCGCCACTGGAATGCATTGTCCTCTTTGAAAATACGACTCTGTAACTGTAAGCACAAAAACTAATTCAAGTGTATAATTTATGGCTAATAGAAATCAGGAATATGTCGTATGTTAATAAAAGTAACAGCTTTACAATTTGTTATTTAAGTCAATTTAAAGATACCATTGTTATTACATGTATGGATATGTATGCATTAAATGATATCGTGAATGTACAGTACAATTTAGGAATCATAACCCCTTTCAGTCTCTTTCAATTTGCGATAGTGACCTATTTGCAAATGAGGATCAGGTCATTTGTTGAATATTGGTTTCTGTCGTTGACTTTAAATAGTGTTTAAATTGAAATAAATAAAGCATTTTATTACTTTTCCATTATTGTAGATGTCACCGAATTTCGCGAACACAAAAGCGACAACATATTCCAAAAACAAGTGTCATTAAATGCAATAAAACATTTCCACTTAACATGGGCCAAACTTACGGAATAATTATCGCGTAAACCGATGTATATAGATATCAATTAACAATTAAATGAAAGGTGACATATGTTGGTATACGAACATGTTTAGACTATTTACACCGTGGCACAGGTAATGTTGGGAATCATTCATTATCTATCCAATAACATCTTGAGGTTCTCCTGCTTACAGCCAGCCTATCGTGACGACTGGCTTTTAAATAGTACACATGCATGGTATCAAACGCGATTCCGTTAATCCATTTGCTATTAAGTCATAATGAAATCACGACAACAAGGAACTGGTGATGATCGACATGAAGATACAGATAGTCAGCGACAATACGTCGGTGTCTTTCTCGAAACAACTAAATCGGTGAAATAGATTAAGAAACACAACAGTGAAGATATATGAATTGAAAAAACGCGCTAATTTCTTCATTATTTTTATTTCAGTTTTGATCATAGATTACCTTTTGTTATTTACTGAAACCATTGTAGTTTTACGTTGTTTGGACCAGTCAGGTTCTAGCTTTCTAGTGTTGCATGTATCAAACGGAGTCCATTTGACTTTATCTTCCTGCTGATAACTCCATACAGATGGGATACTCTTGTCTAGTTCAGGTATCGATTGAACTTCCGGTATACTGTTTGGAAGTACTGCTGGTTCTGGTATTGATCGAACTTCAGGCACACTGTCCTGAATTTCTGTTTACATTGCACAAAATGTATTTAACCAAATAAGTTTTCTTTGTAAAATGATGTAACATACTGGTAATATTGTTGAAAGCATGAAAAAATCTAGAGAAACATTTAGCTTTGCGCATGCGTAAGTAGGAGATACACAATGTGTCATTTGTATTTAGCACTTTCCGTTTCGAATTAATATATCTATCGTATTCCTTAAAAATAACTGTCGGATGGAATCAGCAATTACAATACTTCATTAAAAATGTTTATTGTTCGAAATAAAATAACATAATGGGACAGGCAAGACAATAAAAGTCATCTCCAATCTCGTCCGACAATGGAAGATCCACTTATAAGGTTGAAATATTAATTTATTAAAAAAAATCTAAATTTCTGAACCCGTTTAAATATGCAAAAACGTTTACCTTGTCGAAGAGGATAGTCGAATGCGTTTAGCTTCAGAAACTGGGTATTTGAGTCTCTGATGTAGGTAGAATAAGGCCTGAAATTAACTTTCTTGTATGGTTTAGAATGAGTGTCTGATGATAATGTCAGTGTGTTCCCCGGTTCAAATTTGTTGCCTTCATACCCTGATGCCTGTGCTTGTCTAAAAGAAATGGTAAATTGATATCAATGCAAAACAAATGAATTTTTACAAAATGAGTATTTTAATTTCCCTAATCATGTTCAATTTGTAAAAATGAAGTTGAAGTGTCTTATTGTAATTGTTCAATAATATGTTAAATACATTTTCCATTGAATTGAACAATACTTACTCCCCCGAAGTGTCCTGCAATGTGACTTCATCCCCGTATCTGTATTTCCAAATCTTTCTACTTGGCCAACGAACCTATAATACAGCGTATGAAATGAATTTCTTTAACATTTCTTGACTATACTGATTGACATTAAAACACCACACTAAGTTTAAAATGTCCTATTATATCAATGACTATTCAAATACATATAATGAAAACCTTTTCGTAATATGTATTTACTTAAGTTAGCAGCTAACGAAACTGCCAAATGCTACAGTAAAGTGTCAGTTTGATGCAAATGTTGATCACGAATTTTCGCAGTGTCCTAACAACATCAGCGGAATGAAGATAAACAGAAGTATTATCAGAATATATCCGTAATTGAATAGTCATTGATATAAATTCAGCCTCGTTAATGCCCGTATCCATTTTCGATCTCTTTGACTTCAAAGATAACATTTATGATTTTAAGCTCACCTGGCCCAAAAGGCCAATTGAGTTTATACCGTGGTGCGTCGTCCGTTGTCAATATTTTACATTAAACAACTTCTTAATAACCAAAAGGCCTAGGGTAATGGTATTTGGCCAGAAGCAAACTGGGATTAAGGGCTACACCGCCTGTTCAAATACATAACCTCCACCCATATTCAAGGTTACAGGGGTCAAATATGTTAAAAACTTTCAACATCTTCTGAATAACCAAAATGCCCAGGATGATGATATTTGGCCAGTAGCATGCAGGGTTGACTGGCTAACAAGTTTGTTCAAATGAATGACCTTCACCTATATTCAAGGTCACAGGGGTCAAATGTGTCAAAAGCTTTAAAAACACTTCCGAATAACCAAAATGCCCAGGGTGATGATATTTGACCAGTAGGTTGCTGGGATGAAAGGCTACCATGTTTGTTCAAATGAATGACTTCGACTTATATTTAAGGTCAATGTGGGCAAATATGTTTAAATCTTTAAATGACTTATAAATAACCATGAGGCCCAGAATGCTGATATTTGACCATTGTCATGCTTGGATGAAGGGCTACCATGTTTGTTGAAATGCACGACCTTGAACATTCAAGGTCACATGGGTCAAATATGTTAAAATTTATAAATGACGTCCCTCCAGGTCGTGCGTAAGAATTATACATGTTGCCCCCATCGCATAATCATTAGAGGCGACTAAATTTTTGATCCTATCTTTTCTCTTCTTTCTAATCAACTGTCTTCTTCCTAATGTCTCCCTTGACAATGTCTCACTTTTGGCGTTGGGCGTTCACCCCTATAAGGAAGGCTTTGGGTTCAGTCCCCTGGCTGAGACATACCAGAGTCTGTAAAAATGACAGTTTCTACTCCTACTTAAGACTCAGCAATTTAGAAGTGGGACGACTGGTTCGCCCGTTGTCAGTTTAATGTGAACTGGTGGGGTGTCCTGCTGGGCGTCGTTGGCAGTATGTTTCAGTGAGGTAGCACTATAAAGTCGGTATCAGTTCCGCACTATCTCAAGGAGACAAACACAAACATATCGCAGCCTTCCAAAAACACACAGGGGAGGTCGTCCTTAAATAACCATAGCTGTTGATGGTACGTTAAACAATACTGAATATTACCGTAACCATGCCTTTCCTTGTACACAAACACACAACGCCACATAATCCCTGACCTCCGTCATCATCACCATGAGTCCAGCCAGGGCCTGCAATTTAATTATCAAAAAATACAGCATCTGGCATCAAAGTAAAGAAAAACAAGAACATTTTTTACAGCTGAAGCTACTGCCGTTGGTCTGGCTTTGGATGAAATTGAAAAAAATATAATTAACAAAGAAATACTTTGTTCTGACTCTTTGTCACTATTACAATGTATTAGAAATCAGAATTTGAACAATATTCTCATACAAAACATCGCTCTTGGTACTAGCAGAATTTTATTGTTTTGCCATCTGATCTTGATTTGAATACCAGGTCATGTCGGAATAAACGGAAATGAGGCGGTAGATAAAGCTGCTAAAGCAGCCCTTAACCTACCGCCGAAAGATATTAAACTGCCTTTTTCTGATTTAAACCTTCTATAACACATTTTATTAAAACGAATTGGCAAAGTAAATGGTCTGAAGAATTAAACAGCAAGTTATTTGCAATTCAACCTGATGTGGGTTTATGTGTAACAAGTAAAGCAGACCGCAGAGAGGAAAGTGTCCTATCGCGACTGCGCATAGTCCATACCTACATCACACATGGTTACATTTTGCGTAAGGAAGAACAGCCTTATTGTCATGCATGCGATCAACCGTTAACAGTCAGACACTTAATGATTAAATGCTCTGAAATGGGCTGATTTCAAACAAATACGTGACAGATTGTATGATGTACCGTCTATGAAAAGATTATTCGATACAGTTTCTGGTTTCTGTGCAATTACTATATGACTATTTACACTTTATTGACCTTTACAATAAAATATGATATATTGTACAGCCAATTTGTTCTATATTGATGTATTTTTTGTAATCCTTAACAAATTTCTTAAGCTATTAAGTTTTGGTTTGATGTGTATATTTTCGTGAATGTCTCTTTTTACAGTATTGTTGGCCCTAATTAACTTATATTGTCGATGGGCCGTTAAACAATACACACAAAAATATCAACGAACTTAAAATAAAATCCACATCTAAATACAACCATATGAACGTCAAAAGGCAACACACCATAAACGTCTAGAAAAATCAACTCAATATGCTCCAGAAGGTTACGCATTATGATCTTATTAATTCAGATAACGGATACTAAATATGTAATATACAGTCGTATTCTTGATTGACCATGATATGCTGCATACCATTATCAAAATATTTTTTGCGAAGACGTTTCATTTTTAGCTCACCATGGTGAACTTATGTCATATCGCAGCGTCCGTCCGTCAACTTTTCCTTTAAAACGCTACTAGTCTAAAACGGCCAGGTAGATTTTGACTAAATTTGGTCTCAAGCATCCTTAGGCTAAGTGGACTCAATTTTGTATAAATGTGGCACCCCTGGGGGCAGAGGGCGGAGCCAAATAATTGAAATATGGGAAACACCTTTAAAATTCTTCTAACGTAGGGATTATGGGATTTTATCCTAATTAAGTCTGGAGCATCATCGGGCCAAGGGTATTCAATTTTGAATAAATGGTGGGTGTGGCCACCTTGGGGGCAGAGAGGCGGGGCCGAATAGTGGAAACAGAGATAAAACCTTTAAAATTCTTCTACCGTAGGGATTACAGTATGTTATCCTAAATAAGTCTGGAAAAACCTTTGGCAAAGGGGACACAAATTTGTATAAATGGTGGGTGTCCTCAGGGCCCAATAATTGAAATAGATGTAAAACCTTTAAACTCCTTCTCCTGCCATAGGGATAAAGGGACTTTATCCAAATTCGGTCTAGAGCATCCTTGCGCAAAAGGGAATTTGAATTTGAACAGTAACATCCAACTGTATGTGGGAAGGGAAATCAATTTTGTATAAATGGTGAGTCTGACCCCCCTTTGGCCTTAAGGGTGGGGCCATTAAATTCTTTAAAAAAAATCTCCTTCTGTAGGAATGACAGGATTTTGTTCATATTTGGACTAAATCATCCTTTAGTGAAGGGAACTAAATTTTGTATCAACATTGGGTCTGACCCCCTGTGGCAGAGGGCGGGCCCAATAGGGGAAACATAGCAAATTCTTCAAAATACAGAAGAAGAAATTTGGGACGAAGCACCCTTGGGTGAAAGGGAACCAATTTTGTATAAACTGTGGGTTTTAACCCCCTAGGGCAGAGAGGCGGAGCCATATAGGGAAAATGGAAAAATAACTTTAAATTCCTTCTTCTTTTGTAGGAGTGACAGGATTATGTCCATATAAGGGAAACTAATTTTGTATCAACGATGGGTCTGACCCCCCTGGCTATTTCATCTTCAAATTTGCGATCATTTCCAGAGTACCTCTTATAATCTTGCAGCCGACTTGTGCCGATCCATCATCCCTAACTACACGTTCGTCATTGTCTGTGGAGAGTACTTGGCAAGGATCGTAACAGTGGTATAGTAAGGGGACTATACCACAGTCCCACAGCACAGATACAGTACCTATAATGATAGTGCGTATGAGTGCAGGGCTATACACGTTTAAACGCCTAATGATCTCGTTTATAAAGTAAAATATTATATCAATAGATTAAGAATCAATCAGCATTTCTACAGGATTTGTTTAGTAGACATTTAAAGTGTTAAGATTGCAGTCTGAATATATATAAATTACATTACATACAAAGTATATAAATACTTACCAACTTAACGCTACTACATGTTAATTATGCCGATTCCTATTGCACATTATTACGTTTCATCTATATAGGAGGTATATTTGTAGTCTGTTATGAATAAATTCCCCTAAATATATATAATATCTAGTATTGTTGTACATAATTCATTAATTCATTATTGTATATCTAGATTATAAACAACATGAATATTTAGTAATTGTACATCAATTTTGTCCGATATATAAATAATTATTGTTCATTTTGTCTGATTCATAGACAAGATACATGCTTAGTGTTTTTTACATGTCCCTGCAGGTAGCTTAAGAACATGCTGCCCCAATTGCGTGATCTTTAGAGGCGACCTAATTTTGGGATCTTATCTTTTCTCCTCTTTCTAAACAACTTTCTTCTTCCTAATGTCTCTATTGACAATGCCTCACGTTTGGTCTTTAAATGAGCGTTCGCCCATGTGAGGAATGCTTTGAGTTTTGTCCCCTGGTCGAGACATACCAGAGTCTGTAATAATGGTAGTTTATACTCTTACGCTCAGCAATTTAGGAGCGGGACGACTGGTTCGCCCGTTGTCAGTATAATGTGACCAAAACCCAAGCCATCCTCACAGGGGCTAACGCTCAACTAAATACCAAAAGTGAGGCATTGTCAAGGAATACATTAGGAAGAAGAAAATTAAATTGTTCAGAAAAAAGAGAAAAGATAAGATCCCAAATTTTGTCGCCTCTTACGATCATGCAATTGGGGCTGCAGATTCAATCCTTGGCCCTGCAGGTAGGGCGTAAGAACTGTACCTGCTGCCCCCAATTGCATGAACGTAAGAGGCGACTAAATTTGGGACCTTATCTCTTCTCTCCTTTCTAAATACCTTTTTTTCCGTAATGTCTCCCTTGGCAATGCCTCACTTTTGGCCATTTGTTGAGCGTTCGCCCCTGTGAGGAAGGCTTTTGGTTCTGTCCCCTGGCCGAGAAATACCCAAGTCTTTAAAAATGGTAGTTTCTACTCCTGCTTAATGCTCAGCAAATTAGGAGTGGGACGACTGGTTCGCCCGTTGTCAGTATAATGTGACCGGATGGGGCGTCCTGCTGGGTGTCTTCGGCAGTATGTTTCAGTGAGGTAGCACTATAAAGTCGGCATCATTTCCGCGCTATCACAAGGAGACAAAAACGAACATATCGCAGCCTCCCAAAATACACACACATACACTACACGCATGCATCTTGCACTCAGGGGATGCCGTCCTTAAATGACCTTGGCTGTTAATAGGACGTTAAACAAAATCAAACAAACAAACAAACAAATCTTACGACCTACCTGCAAGGACCGGTTTAGCTAGGAGCAAAACAGGTGGAAGTTTAAATTTTTTGATGAAGCCGAAGGGCAGATGCGTAAAATCTCTTTATTATTTCGATATAAAACATTAGAAAAATACAATTTGGCTTAACTAGATACATAGGAAGATTTCCGTAAATTATACGCCAGGAGAATACGGGGGATAATTATGTATGACTGTCCGTCTCTCACACTTTAGTTTCTGTGCAATTACTGCTCCGAAATTTTCAGATTTCAATCAAATTTGATGCGTACATGTAGACGTATATTCGTATTACTGGCTTGGGTTGATCCCCAATACGACTTTATCAAATACGCATTATCAATGGGAATACTCGGTTCTGTTCGGGGTTTTTTCGTGAAATAACTGCCCTGATTAAATTTCAATCAAATAAGGCATGTAAATACATAAAGGCATGCTTCAAGCAAAGTTTGACTTCTTATGTTATTTTGAATGTAGATCTATATTCTGATATGCACAACCTACTAATCTTAAAATATATCAAAGCTACACAATAAATTGAAAGCAGGCGAACTTGCTTGTTTCGTGTGATAAATAGACATAGATATATGTAGTGCAATTTTGTATTAAATGGTCTGTTTCATTTATGAGCTAGATACCTAGGCAGTGATATTCTTTAGAAATCTTCTGTTCGTGATAAATTTAAAATACGGTTTGAGTTTTCAAATTGAATAATGATTTTGCTCATACGAACAGATGGCAGTAAAATTGTACAAACAAAATATCGAATGATAAAGGAATCTCAACAAAATCCACCGTTTTTGTTGTGGCACACTACTGTGCCAGGACCATCAGAGTCTTGGTTATCGTTTTGATTCCAATCCGGACCACGTCGTACTCGCGTTCCAACAGGGAGCAGCGGTAAATTGAGTTCCTGGACCAAATACTCGTTTGGTTCCATGACTTTTGTTATTGACAGCTTAGAAATATTTATGGCAAGTGCGATAACGGATTCCTGAAACAGATATAAAAGGGGATATAGCATGTTAAGGTTATAGCCATTCAAGCGTAATGACGATATCCAGTTGGTAAAATGAGTCACGGTAAAGATTTCTCAAAGTAAGTAACCTTTATTCGTTTTGGTCCGAGTCTGTGTAACTGAACTATATTAATGTAAAGGCCTGTCACACACTACCGATGTACCTCGCCGGGATTAAACCGGAACAAACAATTAACAACGGCGAGAAAGCACATAACAAACCAAAATTGACAGTAGCAATACCAATATAATACCGGCGTTCCCGTTGTGATACCGTTGTTCTACCGATGTAAGAGCCGATGTGCTACTAAATACCACCTTTCTGTCACCTCAGTGTAACCAAGGCTCCGCCGTTGTTCTAACGTATGCCACCGTTGACTGGAGCACGGTATTACATCGTTGGTACATCGGCGGCGCATCATAACTGCTTTGGTGTTATTCGGAAGTACTACGGTATCACATCGGTACCAGTACGGTACACATTGAGGCCACCGGAGAGCCGCCGATCCATTACGGGGCGCTACCGGTGTTCTATCGACATCAACGAAGCCATACCGGAGTACTTCCGATGTACTGCCGCTGTAGTCCCGTCGCACGCTCAGGCAGCGCAACGGCGGAATTTTTTAAGAATGTTCAACATTTTCTACCGACTTATCAGTTACAACATATATACTGTACATTATCATATGTTTACTAATAATAACACCCTTTTTGTATGTGTTATAAGTCTACAAATTTCCACAAGTTGATATCAGCCCGGTTGATATCAACCCCCCCCCCCCCTTTGAGTGATATCACACCCCTCCTCAATTTCCGGATTTTGCCGTTTCCGCTTATTGCTGTCAGCTTTTAATGTAAATAAACGAAGTGTTTGCATGGAATCAATGCCGTTTCATGGAAAAAAAATAAAGATTGATTTACAAAGCCCCACCTAAATTTCCGGATGGCGACGCTTCCGGATTTGGCTTTGCTTATTAGTATTACACCTGTCGTCTGCGTAAACAAAAAACAACGATTGCGACTAGTACTGGCGAGGAGATTTTGGAGGGATTGGCAGCAAGGATTGTTGAACTAGATGAATTAATCCTGGAAAAGGAGACGAAACGTGTAATGGATGCAGGGGGGCGATTTAATAATGCTACTAATGATACCGAAGCTTTCGTAGAAAGCATGAGGAACAAGAATACTGCGAGAAAAACGCAATCCGACATCAAAATATTCACGAAATATCTAATGTCCCAAAATAGTTTGAGATCTCAAGAGTCTATTGACTCGGTTCAGTTGGCGGATTACATGGCCAGGTTCTTCATGAACGTCAGAAAAAACGATAAATCTGAGTACGAACCATTAAGTCTGAGGTGTTTACGATCCAGCATTAACCGTTACCTACAGGAGAAACACTACGACGTCAATATTTTGACCGATATCAAATTCAAACATTCTCGTGATGTGCTTAGTGCCAAAATGAGGAAATTGAAGACTGAAGGCAAAGGAAACCGCCCAAATGCTGCTGATTCACTATATACNGTCATACTTTCTTGTGTAAACAACTATGACCTCACAATACCTGTTTTCAAAATAAACAGTCTCCTGATGAACGGGGAATCAACCCGAGAAAGGCCTAGAGACGCTATCTCTGTCTTTTGTTCTATTTTTCATATATATATATATATATTTCTAAACTACATTTTGAATACGATTTTTTTAGAAGAACATTTTTTTTTTTCAAAAAGTGATTTCCCCAGATTTGGGACTTGTGAAAACCATGGTTACCACATCAAAAACCACCAAAACATGCAAAAACTCATGATTTTTAACCCAGAATTTGACCCCCGCAAGTAGAATTGTTTTTCTTAAAACCTGTCTGAAATTAAATATCGCCTACTCGGTAACAAAAATACTCACGTTTTAGCATAGGTCATTCCGGTGAATTTTCACGATATTAACACATGTGCTGAGTACAAAAATAGACTACATGAAAAGCTAGCTTTTGTTGTGTAGACACAGATTTGTAAATGCCCAAAATTGCAGTCTCAAACCAAATTGGGTTTTTTTTTTTGAAAAATTATGAAGCCCACATAGTCCACTTCATCATGTATATACCAATTTTAGTGCTGATTTTCTTTTAGAATTTTGATACATGTTATATTTCAGGGGTGATTCATTGTATAAAAATATCACCCATGGCCACCGTACGCTACTGTACTCTGCTACCTATAAGCTTGGTAGCTATTGGTTCTAGTTAGTACTACTGTAATCATTGAGCGAGGAATGCCCAATGGATATTGAAAATTGTATTGTGTTTTACTGTTTTATACAATATATTGACTTTAAATAAAATCTTTTGAGAGGGTTTGTTGAACAAAATAACACTTACAGGGAATCCGACGTCACTTAACAACACCATATGGTGAAACAACACAACCCATTTCGGTCTTAGAAGTCGCCAGGAACAAATCGATATGAAATGGGGGGATGTCTTCCTAAAAACGTCGTCAGATGACCAAGAATACCTCGAGTACAGTGAACGGTCGACGAAAACCAGGACAGGATATGGAGTAGGGCGTCCATTCAACCGAAAGATATTTTCTGTAACTGGTTAGTTGCAAGCAATATTATTTCTTTTTTTCATATGAAGCAGGAGATGTTCACCTTTCTGGAACACCTGACCTCAACTTTGTTTTCTTGTGAAGGTTCATAATGTGCTCTAAGTTGATATCTTGTAATTTTGTTTCATTATTTTGTCATCTTGTCTGTACTCGATTTGTTTAACGTCTTATAAATGGTTATTGATTGTGTGGTATTATTGTTTATGTCGTTGATATTTTTATAATTACAGATGATCCTTGATGTCGAGTAGAAGCGTACAAGGCAAACAGAAGTCAGAGACCAGAAGCAATGAAAGCACCTGAGTCACCTTTCTACCTGGCGGTCAACACAAACTGGTCTAAAAATGAAAATGCGCTTTGGTTTGTGAAACAGAACATTGGTAAAAACAAACTAGGTTCCATCATGAATGTGATGTGTGAACAATGCGGAATTATAGGTAGGAAGGTCAATCATTCTGCTCGAAAAACAACGATTACCACACTTGTTCATAATGGTGTCCCTCCAACTGAGGTCATGCAAATAACTGGTCACAGGAACTTTAACTCTATAAATCATTATAGTTCAGCCTCTTTAGAGCAATAGAAAAGAATGTCAAACATCATGTCAGGGAAATCGATCGGGCCTAACGGTGATAATCGTCCATATGACTTCGTCTCAGGTGACCTATTCTAATCGCCGATTTTAATAACATTTTGCAGGAACCTTCCTGAGTCAAATATGCACCAAAATTGTGAATTATATTGTTCCTACCCACAGGGGCTCTGAGGGGCAGGGCTAAAAGGGGTCAAATTGGCTTAAATTTTTAAAATCTTTTTCCAGATCCAGATAGGCTGGAAACCAATACTCATCGTAAGGTCTTGATGTACTTTCATCATAATTGTGAATTTCGTTACCCTTGAGCTTCACGATTCCCCCTTTTGGGTATATTTTGTTCATTTCCTACTAAAAATCATGACATTTTTAACTCTGTCTCATCCCCAGGGTCTTAGCCCGAATGGGGTCATATAGCCAGACATTTCAACAGTCATCTTCTCCAGTCTGAGATAGGCTGGAAACCAATACTCGTCATAGATGAAAGGGTCTTGAGGTGCTTTATCAAAATTGTTAATTTCATGACACCCAGACTCCATGTGTACCCCTGGGGAGGGGGCGAATTTTACTACACATTATATAGGAAAATGATACTAGTGGGTATGTTTTGTTCATTTTCAATTGGAATTATTCAAATTTGACAATCATTATAACTATGAAACGACGGTTTGATACATTGCTAGTTTGGGCCCGGGCCCGCCTCCAATGGCTAAGGGGCGGGACTTAAAGGGGTAAATTGGCTTAAATTAAAAAATCTTATCCAGAACAAGATATGCTGGAAACAAATAATCTACATAGATAGAAGGGTCTTAAAGCACTTTTCCAATAGGACATCATTGAAACTTGATAGACATTATACCTTCGAAATGACAGTACTATCCCTGAACAAGCAATGTCTGACACATTCACAGAAGCAAACTTATTATTTCAAGAAGAATAAACTGGAAAAGAGCAAAGATAATGGCGTACACATCTATAGCGTTATATTTGTTTGTCGTTTATCATGTTAATTTTAACATTATTAACAAATTATGCGACTTTTTTTATCACAAAAATCTCAAAACAAATATCTTTCTCATCAACTGGTGTTAAATTTAGATGATGTAGTCAACTCACAATTTTGTTGTTTTCTACCATTTAGTTGTACGTAATTTAGGTTCAGTATCAAAAGATGCAAAGCTTCCAAATGGCAAATCTCAATACACAAAAACTCTTCATTGTTGAATCAATATATAAGATATATGATAGGACCGCCAATTTCTCTTTAGCCAGTAGTCTTACTCAAATAAACCCCTGAAAAAATCCAAAAGCTCGTTCTACTGTTACAGGAAGGAAAGAAGTGGTGCCCCAGCTGGGATCGAAACCACGACCCAACGTTCCGGAGGCCAACGCTCTACCACTGAGCTAAAGGGATATGTCCTGTCAGCTGACTGACATAACCTATATTTGTACATATAGTACATATACTGCCCAGATCTTTCACACTACTTTTGCATTCCATGTAATGTAGTTCAAGTTACCTATGTTACAAAATGATTTCTTCTTGATTTGGCAACATCGCTAACATCAGTTTTTACATACTTTTGGTGACTGTTAAGGCCTATGGGCCATTTGTTTAAAAGCAATTCAACTGCAAAAGTTTGCACTAGGTACACACTTACGACACATTGGTACAGACTACAATTACCACAAATGTAATAAGGCATATTTACTCTTTCCGATTCGGAGAAGTCTCTCCCAAAGGCCCTCCTACTTGTACTTTCTAAATCCATGAGGGCGTGAAGTGTAGCATCCTCATTTTCTCGTGCGTCTTTATCTCCATCCACAAGGTCTGGAAACTGGCGAAGTAACTTAGTTGCTGCAATCTGAAACGATTTGAAGATACAGCTTGCGGAAAATTTATCTGACGGCAAAAATATAGAACTCCATTGGGAATCACAGATCACACTGACCAAGTGCTGCAATGATTAGCAATTTACTTTATATGAAGGAGATTTTCACTGGTACAGTTATGAGGGAACCTTTTTTTAACATGAATTACTGTTTGAATATATATTCGCGGGTATTTTTGTGTTTCAAAAGAAACATTTTTTACATGAATAGTAATTTACCAGTCAGAATTAAGAAAAAACACGCTGTAATCCTTGGTTCGATTTTAATTTTCTAGAAACATGATGTTTTAATGTGATGTATAATTTGTTAATGTTGTAATGGTTTTGCTTTACCTTCAATAATATAGTTTCCTTACCAAATGCTTTGACATCCCGGCGAGTTCATCAACATGTTTTTCAGGAAATATTTTGCCGTTTGTAGCCTTTGTCAGTGTTTGCAACATTTCCTGAAATTGTCCGAATAAAATCATACTATACCAAGATTTGTTTGGTTTAATGACAAAAAAGCAATAGCATTAAGACCTGTTGCAAAATGACACGGTGGCAGTATATTTTTAACGTGTTTTAGTATATTGAGTTTTCGAAAAAACATTTTTCTATTGATTGTTTTATATTACTGTAGATTGTAGAACTGTAATATAATCATTTAGAAATTTCGTACTAAAGGCATACATTTACACAGCGTAAAGAAACAGATTTTTTTCTGATATAATCTGCAATTTCTGTATGATTAAAATATTTTAAATGCGTTTAATATTAATGAAAAGTATATGCTGTCAAAGAAGACATTCATCAACAACTGGTTAACATTGCAGGTCTAGTTTGCTCACGGAGCTAAGTTTTATCACGGATTGGTCTCGCACAACGAAATAACATTCGATTTTTTTTATATAAGCAGTTGTCAAGCACACATGATCTGACTTTTTATCACAAATCTCATCGTCATAATTCTTCCTCAACGTAACAAGGATATTTGGTGATATTAAGGGACAATTTTGTTATTTGGATTACACTACTGACTAAATCGCCAACTGTCGGCCAAATGAGAAAAATAAATAATGGAGCAGGGATTGTGCACAATCGAATTATTGAATTGGTGGTATATTACTAATATTTGCACTTTTCTGAGATAAATGATATATTTGATGTCATCTATTTTAATATCCTTCAACTGTACTTATGTAAAATGTTGGTTCAAAACCATCAAAGGATTCTATTCATTATAGCGCCACCCTGTGCGCAACTGGAACAAATTATAATCTCTTTGGCGGGAAATGCGTTTTTTTATGCGCAGGAAGACCCATACTTGTTACAAAGTAAGTACATTCTAAAATGTTGGCGCTTTCATAGATATTTTTTTTTTTATCTTGTTTGAAAGCTTTTTAGCTTGCACTGTCGGCTCTAATGATTCAATAGTTCAATTCTGCCTGATTTTATTTTTACGGGTCTGTCGGTACTTCATTATTTTTTGGTTTTTAGGGAAGCCTTCACATCTATGACGCAACTGTCTTGTAATGTAGTAAATACACCAATGTCATTGGTTTTGTTGTTTCACCCGTTGTCAGTATAATGTGACCGGGCGGAATGCTGTGCTGGGTACCTTCGGCATGGAATTTCAGTGAGATAGCACTATAAAGCCGGCATCAGATTCGCGCTATCACAAGGAGGCAATCACACCAACATACCCTGACTCCTGCATACACACACGCGCAAGCAAGCACACATACACTACACATATGGAGGCACGTCCTAAAATGACATTAGCTGTTAATAGGACGTTAAACAAAATAAAACCAAAATATAACGGATCCTTTACCAGTCTATTGGGTTTTCCAGCTGAACAAATTTTATTTAAAAGCTCACTTAACTGTTTCTGGACATACCGAATCTGCTGGTTCGCCTATGTGTACACAGTAACAAACAATTCCATTCAATTTCAACAAGTTTGCTGCAAATGGGACCTGTGAAAATACGGAAAAAAACATGTTACCCTGAATGACTGTATTCATTCATTCCTTGTTCTCGTGAGGAATAATTGATACATAAATATGCACTTATTATCTTGAGTTGATAGAAATAGTTACCAGAATGGCATTTCTCTGATCCAACTCATAGTTTTCGTCCTTTGCATCCTCAGCGGAAAACTTCCCATCGGTCAACACTATGACCCGAGCCATCAAGCGGACATCATTGACCACAACGTTTGCATCTTAGACAAATATGCATATATATAATACATAAAATGTTGGAGTATTTTTCTTACATTTATAATACAAATTTTGCTTTCATTAATGTCTTAAGCCATTATATACATGCAAGGTGTATATATTATAAATACAAACGTAATAGGAATTCATTTCAATACTGATGTCATAATTTTTATGATATCCCAAACACAGTAAGTATTTAGGTAAATAATTTGTTATGATGATACACACTTCTTGCCGAATTTGAGAATTTCTATTTTTTTTCAAATTTAAATTAGAATAGGAAGTTATTAAAAAATGTATACGTACAATTAGCAATGCAAGCCGCAATAGCCATCGATAGACCACGATAGAGCGTACTCGGACCTTCAGCAACAAGCGAATCTAGGGGGAAATAAGACAATCTTATATTTTAAATTCATGTAACAATGTCACTGATTAACATGAAATACCCTGATTTTCTTACAGTTGTGTGACCCCACAACGCACCAACGATAGCGTGCGCACAATGTTCATGCATCGTGCGCATATCTTCTGCATATGGTGCTCACAGCTGTGCGACTAAACAATCATTCGCCCTGTTGTGCGCTTCTCTCCGCACAAATGTCCAATTTGGTAAAATTGATTGATCAATAATTATCGAATGTAAAAAATGCGGAGGGCTCGTATCGAAAAAAGTAAACTGTACGCATTAATTTTTCATCACAATAATTAGGATTATGTTGTATTTTACTATGCATGTTTCACAGTATTACAGTGATCGTTAGAGTGTCAAAAATGGGATTGGCTCCCAGGTAACAGAATAGGAAAATAACATTTTGATGAGTAACCAGAGTTTTACCTGGCCTGTGCCTGACAGAGAGCTGATATGTGATACCGTATGGCCGTTATGAGAATAAAACATGACGTTAAGTATTTGTTAATTGCATCCGTTTTGGTCTATAGCTAACCTTCAACTGGATTTTTACACCTAGAAGAATTACGTATGCTCCGGGTTAGGAAAGCTATGATCCAGGCACAAATCTCTGTGTCTATCTGTATATGGGACCGTGTCGATATGTGTTTTAATTTTACATGTGTCGATTAGGGTTGTTTAAAAAACCCACCGAAAACACATTTTCTTAATTTAAGAAAATAAAGTGAATAAAATGTAGCTAGAACATCGAAACATTTAAACACTAAATCGTATATATTTTTAAGCCATTCCTCAAATTTACACCAACTACGATTGTTATCGCACAACGTCGTCCACTTTCGCACACATGTCATCCAGATTTTTCTTTCGCACATTGTGCACACACCGTGCATACCCCGCACATCGTGTAGGGTTGTGCGATCTCACAACTGTAACAATACATTTGGTTGAAATAATTTGTTTCTTTGCAGTATGCTAGTAAGATGTCCGTATCTATATAGTACGTAAAATCGACCCAAACTTATTAGACAGTATTCAGTTGATGTAAACATGTTTACCAATTACATTCCTAGCTTGTGTGTAGTCATTCGTTAGGTGGAGGGCGACCTTAGGTTGACTTCCAAATGTCGTCACTGCTATATTTCCATGCATCACTTCGAAATTGGCAAGCTCTTCAATACCTGCATATTCAAAAATTGTAGAAGTTTTCATCGAAACAGCCTGGTTTTCGGTCCCCAGATTAGCATCCATAAATGAAATATTTGTCTTTTAAGAAGTTTCCGTCTTTGCTTGAGTATTTGACACCGTCAAATGAGACATATCAGACAGTTTGTGTCTTATATTCTTATGTTGATAATGTCATATTACTTTTGTGTGTATTTGAGAATAAAATGACAAGATTGTTTTGGACAATTTATAAATAATTAGCGTCATATAATGTTAGCATTGTAATGACCAGTACATATGACAACGACCAAGATTCGATCATCTGGTTACAGTGGAATAGGTATATTTACCATCGATGATTTGATTTGCAACACTAGTCATCTTGTGGAATTTTTCTCCGCACATGCTTGTAGACGTGTCAAGGCACAGAATGGTATCAGGCCCATTCCCCCGACAGGCTCACATTGTGATTGCTTAACTAAAACAAACCACAAAAATACGACAAAGACAATTGATATTTTCTGCCTGACGAATGGTATTACGTGTGCCATTTTTTTCAGTTTTGATCAGGATAAAAAAAGCCTAACATATGTTTGATTTTAAACATTTTTATAATCGGTGAAGTTAGTTAGCATGATGATATCACTTTCAGTAAATGAGATGAGGTAGATTGCACAGCCATATACGCAAAAGTTATTTACCACTGAAGTAGTTGAAGCGAAGCCTACAGCTAATAGAATAGTATGCATTAGTCAAATATATTTGTGCTGTTTCTAAATGATCACCACCACTGCACAGAGAAACTGATGCCGCCAAATTAAGCATTATTTGTCAATTTTTGTGATAGAAATGTGATCTTTCATTCGCAATCAAAACAGCAAATTCACACTAGCATGTATTATATATTTAAATTTTGTATCGATATTTTCTCTATCAGTTGACACTAACCCATTTCAATCTCGTGATCAATTTCATCTGTTAATGTACTAAAATCGCAAAGTTCAAAGTCTGGGTAGCCAGATGTTGCAAAATATGATTATAAAGTATATTATTAACAAATATACGATTTTAATACGCATATACGATATTAAAACCTTATATTATAAAATGTCATCATATTTGAATGATTATTTACGAAGACCATATGAACTATAAAAGTTATTCTGTACATGAATTAATGTTTTTGGACTACATGTATCGTATACCTGATTTTTACGTTTATGTCTTTAAACAAAATAAATGAAATACATACAAAAATCCACAAGTTGCAATCCACGTTTCATACATGCCACAAATTCGTCACAAAGCACTTGCGTCAACCTGTTAAAAAGATATTATAATAATATGAATATTGGGTGAGGTGTATTTTCTAGTAATTTAAACGGTTTATGAAATTTGATCCTTTGGTGCTGAATATATTAAAGGACTGGTATAATTCTTACTGAGGCCTTTATTTTTTTTAATTTATTAACCAGGTAAATTGTATATACTCTCCAAAATTTGAAATGAAGACACATGGACTTTTAACCTTAAAGTAAACATTTCCGTAATAAACTCGATTTGTGACGGACAAATTTAAAACACGGGTTAATAAAGATTACGGACAAAAGTGCGGTCGGCAACATTATCTCATTGTGAAGTATGCTTTTTCATTCGTGAAAACAGAACACATTATCTTCTTCTCCTTTGAGTCGCCATGTAAATCTCTCCATTGTTTATATTTTGCATATACATCTATGTGCTTTGAGCGAAATATAGAAAACATACCATTTGTAAAAATCGGCCTCATCTGCACCTTCAGTATAATGTTGTTGAGCCATCCATTCCATTAAGTATGAATCGTCTTCTGCATTGGGCTCCGATGCCTGAAAATCGACAACATCCTGTGTTTGTACCGTTAGTTGTCTTTCTAAGTCTAAACCAGGTGGATTCAAAATTGTTGACCCCATTCTAGATGACAAAGAGGAACTAAATGATGCCGAATCCAAATCTTTACCATTGAAAGGTGTGTGCTGTACGTCATCGGTTTTTATGTCTTCCCTCACAATGACTTTGTCGTAATTTACCGGCAGGCGGGGCGGCAACGATGAAAGCTGAATAGGTGTCTTTGGTGAAGCATGCTTCGGTGAACTCAAGGTGAATAATGGGGGTTGTGCAGACATTTTTGCTTGTGGTTTAGTTGGCAACTTCACCGAAAAAGGCGCTACTGCGCTCAACGACTTGTTATGGGTGGACTGCGGTTCATCTCTGATCGAAAAGTTTTTAGCCGTTCCATCTGGTTCCCGTGTTTCCAGCATACTAGAATAACACTGTAAGTTTGTCTTCATTATCTCTTGTACTCTTATAACTTTTCGGCCTATGGTTATGAAAACAGTCAAAGTTTCTGAAAACAAATATAGAGGCATTGTATTTTTATCATTAGGAACTATCTGTGCCTAAGTAAAATATTTACATTTCATATCTCTCTACTTCTAACTTCATTTTATTTCCTAGCGTCGTGCTTGGCAATACCTCACTTTTGGCTTTAGAACTTTGAACGTTCGCCCAGGTGAGGAAGGCAGAGGGTCCTGTCCCCAGGTCGGGACATACCAAAGTTCTTAAAAATGGTAGTTGTTATTTACTGCTTACCGTTCAGCTTTAAGGGAAATGGCAACAGTTGGTTCACTCGGTCTCATTAAAAATGGTTTGTGACACCTTTCCGTTTTCAAACATACTCCATGATGCATCTTGGAAAATATGTTCAAATGGACCTATGTTTTTTAACATTAAAGAAAGAAAAAATACATTCATTTTATTCCTGACTTTACTGAAATCAAATATTTTGTTAGTAGTATGGTCAGACCACAACTGCCTTTCTTGCTAAACTCGATTTATCATATTGATTAGGTGAGTCAGCAATGAGAAAAGAGGCATAGTAAATATATCAATCACCCAAGTAACAAGTTTAACCGTTATGTCTAGGTGTGTTTATTTGATAAACCTGAATAATAAAAGATAAGCATACATGCAAATCAATGTAATCGTCCTCAATACAGGTAATTTTAGCCTAGTATTTGCTATACAAATTGGAAAAATTAATTGGCAACTAATTATGTCTCCTCGAATGAAGGGAAACATATCGCATTAGTACAAGTTGTTCTAGTTCTTGTTCTGGTTCTTATATGATCTTGAACGGGCTGTTATTTTTAAACCGTTAAAGATATTTCGATGAAACTTGACGTCTACAAGCATTACCCATAGACAATGTGCAGTGCACTGTTATTAGGTCATCGTGACCTTCATACCAAGGTCAAATATGTGCTATTTTTCAGGAACATCTTGACGGAGCTGTAATTTTTAAACAGTTAAATTCATCTTGATGGTACTTGAAGTTTACCTGCATCACCCATAGACGATGTATGTGCATTGCACTGTAAATCGGTCAAGGTCAAAGGTCACAAAAATATTATTGTTTTAAACACTTATGTGATTGTGACCTTGACCCAAAGGTCAAATATGTGCAAATTTTTCATAAACATTTTGCCCGGGCTGTAACTTTTAAATCATTAACGATATCTTGATGAAAGTTGCAGTATAACTGTATCGCATACAGATGATGTGCAATTCAGTGTATTGTAAACTTTATCCAAGCATTAATTTCGACAATCGGGTCACTGTGACCTTAACTTCGTCGGGAACTGTTTCAGGAATATCTTGTCTGGGCCGTAACGTTTTACCCGTTAAAGGAGAGACACGTTTATGTTCACAAAAACAAATGTCTAGTTTTTATTATTTAAAACAACCACTCATAACCTCAAAAAAGAGGAATAAAAGCTGTCTTTACCGGATACAAATACATTTTATTCATATATATGCATTAATTGACTTTAAAAAAAATGTTCGTAGAAAATTAATCAAATATGTACGGGTTGGTCAAATCCGTGGTACGATTTAAACAAATCAACTATCGACCAGAAATCTCCAGCATTATTCGAGTGGCATTACAGTTATAATAAAACACCAGTGCTATAATTTCATAGCATTCACCATGACGTGCTCTATTTCTATGGACGACAAGACATGCGTTAACGTTAGGGTATACATACCGTTCATAAGAAGTATGACTTGCTCACTTGTGTCAATCGGTGGTCTATTGCAAAAAAAATCAACATACAATAAGTATTTGGTTGTATATATACCTAAGGCTTATGTCGAAAATCCGGATGTTACACATGAATTATCCAGTACGCTTTCATAATACATTATAATAAAGTCAAGTATAAATCACAATCACTTTAACTAATACAAATGTATATTTAAATAGTGAAAACGATGGTTATGAGGGGTTCACGGCTTCGAATAACAAGGATTATGTGACGGAGGATTTCCTTACAGATGCCGTGAATCATGCAACCTTCCCTACCAGCTTCAGCAGGGACCTCATCTTAGTTGCTTACGATGATTTCAAGGCGTGTAGTACGCAGATTTCCCCCTGTCCTTCGGTACAGGTGAACGTACAAACTTCAAGATCTGATCACAATTATCTTTCTTAATGATCCCCAGGGGGATCTATATAATCTAAGCGAAAGAACTTCATTATATAAGCAATCTTATTTGCCGTTATGAGTTTATATTTGTACCATCCTTGATTTAAAATTTATTCTGAACCACATGGAGAAGCACTTGGACCAATAATACACAGCGGATGATCATATGTTGGCTCCACATTTAATAAGATGAAAATGATCAGTTCATAATTTTATCACACCATTCCGTGTAAGTTTTTTTCAAGAATTGTGAAATGACGTCTGGCGTATTCAGAGAAGTATGAATCGTGTTCATGTTGAGAGAAACTGATACTATTACAAGCTAAAGTTTTGGAAGGGAATCGACAAATATCATACTTCGTAATTTTGTGCAAGGTGTTTTTGATACAACGATAACATACCTGTGTAATTTAGTCACGATATTCATACTCATGTGTCCTATCTCTTTCGTTAAGTCAGCAACCTCTTTAAGAGCATACTGCATGCTTTGTGAAAGCTAAAACCAATACAAACGTTTGATTACGATTTTAAATGCGACTCGTAGTTAATTGGATAAACTTCTACTATATTATATACTGGCCCAAAAGCAGAAGCGGAACATTATTTAAAGTACGGCATGTTCAGAACATCTGACCGTATCGTGTACCTCGATGGACCTGACGTCATATCTGAAGCCGCTCAGCATGAGCACGACAACATTAGCAATGGTCTCTACAGTGGCAACATTTTCTATTCACTCTATCGCTCAGATGGCAGAACGTAAATGTATCGTAGGTGAACATTATCAGGACGCCTGCACGTTACGTTATGATCGTTCTGGCGGTGGATGCGTCATATGCTGTGGGCTGGGGTATCGTGCAATGGACGCACAGACCATGTGATCGTCGACGGTATCCGGAATACTTAATATTAGATGGAACACATTTTGGTGTACTACATCTATGGTGACAAATGGCGGCACGTTTCAGCAAGAAAACGCACGCCTCAAAATGGACTTTCTTTGTCACCAGATCATCATGGTGCTTGATAGGCCATTGTTTTCCCAATATTCTAATCCATTTGCGGACCTATTGAGTGAGTTAGAAAGAAAAGTGAAAAATCGACGCCAGAGTGGCGGAGGATACCGAAGAGGTAAATAAACCGAATCATTGCTTCCATTCGACTTAGTTTTCATTCTGTGGTCAACGCCATGGGCTCGGCTCTTTCACGCGATATTAATTTTGCGAACTTTAACTTTACGTCGTTTCATGGAGATATTTAATAGAAACTGAAGTCAGTTTATTGATAAACGCATATTGATATCGATTTTAAGTGTAAATTTTCAGCATTTCCAGTACGTTAATAAGAAACAACCAGTAACATAATGTAACGTTTGTTTTTAATTACTGATGCAATGCAAAATATAACCTGCATGCAATAAAATTATGAAAATATTTAAAGATTGTTTTGCCTGTTTTAGCATAGCCAAATTCAAACAATTTCAAAACATCCCGATAACTATCACGATCCATGTCTTTTAAACATTGCTTAATTATTTTCAAGTTAAATTCAAAACAGTTGAAAAGGATTTTAACCATGAATTTAATAATACCTCATCGGATGATAATTGCGCCATTCTGCCTTGAATCCAGTATTTCAAACCTAAAAAGGAAGAAGGACTTGTTATTTTTCTATAGCTGCTATATTTTCAAAGTTACCAAATATATATCTATCGCCTGTCTAGAGCCTCTAGATCTAAACAGATAAAACACACATCTACCACCTGTCTTAAACTTCTAGATGTACACAGCTAACACACATATCTAAAACATGTCCTTAAATACTTAATGTATACATATCTTTCAATTTACTATAGTTACTAGATTGACAAAGCAAACAAACAAACATTTACCACCTGTCAATAGCTGATAGATGAACACAGCTTACATACACATATTTACCACCTGTCTATAGCTACTAGATGAACACAGCTTACATACACATGTTCACCACCTGTTTAAAGCTACTGGGTGTACATAATAAACACTCATATATCTACCAACTTCATTTTTTATCATTATTTTTGTAGATGTACACAGCTAATACACATATATATTCCTTTTGTCGTTACCTACTTTGTTTACACAGCTAATATATATATATATATCCTCTATCTCTACACAGTTACATTTGTAGCACTCGTTAACATGTACCATCTGCCCAAAACTACTACATCTTACACACATTATCACATATATACCATCTTTTAAATTTTTAGCTCACCTGGTTCGAAGGACAATGGTTAACTTGTGCCATACCGCAGCGTCCGTTGATCGTCCGTCCGTCAATTTTTCCTTTAAAACGCTACTAGTCCTGAACGGCCGAGTAGATTTTGACTAAATTTGGTCTGGAGCATCCTTAGGCCAAGGGGACTCCATTTTGTTTAAATGGTGAGTGTGGCCCCCTGGGGTAGAGGGGCGGGGCCCAATAGGGTAAATAGGGGTAAAACATTCAAAATCCTTCTCCTACCGAAGGGGATTAAGGGATTTTATCCTTATTTAGTCTGGAGCCTCCTTGGGCCAAGGGGACTCAATTTTGTATATTTACATTTGCATGGCATTGTCACTATATAGCCTCTTTGAAAGCTGTGTCGTTGATGGGACTTTAATTACTATGCAGCAGAACACAATTCTTAGCGTATTAATACAACACTGACCGGAACTACAATATCCAATGTAAATAAACATGACGGCTGCTGAAATATCGCTGGGCATTGTTAGACTTGACAATGTCATTGTATATTAATGTGCAAAAGAAAAAAGAAAAGAAAAAAACCTTTTATTACAACAAAAACAAGACCAAGGTCTGCAATATCGTACAAAATGCACATCGGTTGAAATCACCAATGCCGGCAATGGAAACAATTTTATCGCTCATGCAATTTATCAGAAATATAGTCTGTTACACTGCACGGATTAACAGGGGTTCGTTACAAATGTCTGAAATACACATATTCTATAGACCTACTGACATATGTTATAGACCTACTGATACGAGTCACAGCACACATAAACATTTCAGACATTTGTAACGAACCCCTGTGCTCCGTCGCAAGATCACTCACTTCAAACGCTATCAGTTTCACGCGTCTCGCAGTCACGGTTTCCTCAGTTTCTGACGACATGTAAAATTACGAGGCTGTTATAGAATCTACCGACTGTAGTCAGATTCCCATATAATCAACAAATAAATTCACGTCTGAATTCTTCGAAAAATGAGCAAAGGAAAAGTTCGAATTAACTTCCAAAAATAACTCCCTGGTAAAAGGCAAGGTCGCACTTACGGTGTTCACTGTATTTATCTATGCGCGCATTATGTTGTTTGCTTGCAAAGCTGTGTCATTCAAATAGATCATAAATACCATACAAAAACAGTTCAATGCTCAAATAAATGGTGGGTGTGGACCCTCTTGGCGCAGAGGGGCGGGGCCCAATAGAGGAAATAGAAGTAAAACCTTTAATATCTGTCTTCTACCATAGGGGTTAAGGGATTTCATCCCAATTTGATCTGGAGCATCATTCGGCAAAAGGGACTCAATTTTGTATAAACAGTGAGTGTGGCCCTGCTGGAGGCTGAGGAGCGGAGCCAAATAGGGTAAACATAGCAAATTCTCCCAAATCCTTCTTCTTCTGTAGAAATGACAGGATTTTGTCCAAATTTGGTATGAAGCATCCTAGGGTGAAGGGGAAGCAATTTTGTATAAAATTTTGTATAAACGTTGGGTCTGACCCACCTGGGGGCAGAGAGGCGGGGCCCAATAAGGGATATAGAGTAATAGCTTTAATTTCCTTCTTCTTCCGTGGGGATGATCACATTTTGACCAAATGTGAACAGTAGCATCATATTTGGAAGGAAAATTAATTTTATATAAATGGTGGGTTTGGACCCCCTTGGGCATGAGGGGCGGGGCCCAATAGGGGAAACAGCAAATTCTTCAAAATCCCTCTTTTTCTGTAGGAATGACAGGATTTTGTTAAATTTGGGATGAAGCACCTTTGGGAAAAGGGAAACCAATTTTGTATAAACGGTGGGGCTGACCCAACTTTTGGCAGAGAGGCAGGACCAAAGAGGAAAATAGCTTTTGAATCCTTCTTCTTCTGTAGGAATGACAGGATTATGTCCATATTTAGTCTAAAGCATCATTCCCCTGCAGGTAGGGCGTAAGAATTGTACCTGCTGCCCCCAATTACATGATCGTAAGAGGCGACTAAATTTGGGACCTTATCTCTTCTCTCCTTTCTAAATAACTTTCTTCTTCCTAATGTCTCCGTTGACAATGCCTCACTTTTGGACATTTGTTGAGCGTTCGTCCCTGTGAGGAAGGCTTTGGGTTCTGTCCCCTGGCCGAGACATCCCAAAGTCTTTAAAAATGGTAGTTTATACTCCTGCTTAACGCTCAGCCAATTAGGAGTGGGACGACTGGTTCGCCCGTTGTCAGTATAATGTGACCGGGTGGGGCGTCCTGCTGGGTGTCTTCGGCAGAATGTTTCAGTGAGGTAGCACGAGTGTGGCCCCCTTGGGTAGAGGGGCGGGGCCCAATAAGGGAAACATAGCAAATTCTCCCAAATCCTTCTTCTTCTGTAGGAATGACAGGATTATGTCCATATTTGGTCTAAAGCATCCTTGGGTGAAGGGGAACTAATTTTGTATCAACGATGGGTCTGACCCCCCTGGGGACAGAGGGGCGGGGCCCAATAAGGGAAACCTAGCAAATTCTTCGAAATCCTCATTTTATTTTAGGAATAACAAGATTTGGTCCAATTGCATATAACTATAACCCCTGACTAACCATGTAATACATGTACACTTCCAGTGACACCATGCTATTCTAACTTCAATTTTGCAAACATTTCCAGGTGAGCGATACAGGCACTCTGGACATCTTTTCATGTTTCTTTAGCTACTAGACTTACAAAGCTACCAAACAGATATGTACCACCTGTCCATAGCCTCTAGATCTAAACAGATAAAACACATATATCTACCAACTATCTGTATTTTCTAGATGTACACAGCTAACACACATGCATATACCACCTGTCTATAGCTACAAATTCTACATAGCTAACACACATATACTCACCACTTTGCTGTAGCTACAAGAAGAACAAGGCTAGCACACATATATCTATCAACTGTCTATAGTCTCAAGATCTACACAGCTAACACACATATCTACCACATGCATTAGCTGCTGGAAGAACAAGGCTAGCACACATATTTCTAGCACATTTCTTTACCTACTAAAACACAGCTAGCACACATATATCTACCACCCGTCTTTAGCTACTAGAAGAACACAACTAGCACATTTATATATATAGCATCTGTCTTTAGCTAACACAACTAGCGAACATATATCGAACACCTGTCTTACGCTACTAGATGTACATAATTTAATATTCATATACCTACATGTACCCACTATCTGTATTTTCTAGTTGTATACACTTAAAACACATATATCTACCACCTGTCTTTTGCTACTAGATGTTCTTATTTAACACTCACATCTCTACCAACGATCTGAATTTTCTAGTTGAACACAGGTAACACACATATACGTGTACCTACCACTCTTCTTTAGATACAAGAAGAACAAGGCTAGCACACATATATCTACCACTTGTCTTTACTTACTAGAAGAACACAAATACCACACATATATCTACCCCCTGTCTTTTGCTACTAGATGTTCATATTTAACACTCACATCTCTACCAACTATCTGAATTTTCTAGTTGTACACAGGTAACACACATATACGTGTAACTACCACTCTTCTTTAGCTACAAGAAGAACAAGGCTAGCACACATATATCTACCATCTGTCTTTAGCTACTAGAAGAACACAACTAGCACATTTATATATAGCATCTGTCTATAGCTAACACAACTAGCGAACATATATCGAACAGCTGTCTTACGCTACTAGATGCACATAATTTAATATTCATATACCTACATGCACCCACTATCTGTATTTTCTAGTTGTATACAGATAAAACACATATATCTACCACTTGTCTTTAGTTATCTACCACTTGTCTTTAGTTACTAGAAGAACACAAATACCACACATATATCTACCACCTGTCTTTTGCTACTAGATGTTCATAGTTAACACTCATATCTCTACCAACTATCAGAATTTTCTAGTTGTACACAGGTAACACACATATCTACCACCCGTCTTCAGATACAAGAAGTACGCAGCTAACACACATATATCTACCATCAGTCTTTAGCTACTAGAAGAACACAACTAGCACATTTATATATAGCATCTGTCTATAGCTAACACAACTAGCGAACATATATCGAACACAAGGCTAGCACATATACTTACCAGGTGTCTGTATTTACTAAATGTACACGGCTAACACAATACATCTACCACTTTTCTACGACTATCAGATGTACAAAGCAAACACATATATCTGCCAGTACAAAGCTAACCTACCACGTTTCTATAAACACGTGCTGTATATGAACAACTTACTTAATGTACGAGGCTAACACAATACATCTACCACCATTCTTTAGCACCTACAAGTACAGAGCTAACACGATACATCTACCACTATTCTTTAGCACCTACAAGTACAGAGCTAACACGATACATCTACCACTATTCTTTAGCACCTACAAGTACAGAGCTAACACGATACATCTACCACTATTCTTTAGCACCTACAAGTACAGAGCTAACACGATACATCTACCACTATTCTTTAGCACCTACAAGTACAGAGCTAACACGATACATCTACCACTATTCTTTAGCACCTACAAGTACAGAGCTAACACGATACATCTACCACTATTCTTTAGCACCTACAAGTACAGAGCTAACACGATACATCTACCACTATTCTTTAGCACCTACAAGTACAGAGCTAACACACATATCCGACACTGTGGTGTTTATAGACGTATCTGACTGCACAGTCGAAATACACTTTTGTATAATACACCGACATAAATGGTGCACCATCTAAGTTCATGTAGTTATCGATTAAAAATATGTCATCATTGCATATATTAAAAGGTCACAATGGAGCATTGCTTAAAGTATCTTTGAAGCGTTTTACCAACCTTTTAACAAACCATAATAGTCTCCGTTTGAATTTAATATATGTTATTGGCATGCTGGATCAATATAATGCATATCACGGTTTTGTTGAGTCATTCGAATACTGCGAGAAGTCACCTTAGTTCTTCAAATCTTCGATTGCAAAATATCTATGATCTCTACAAAACATAACAACAGCCCTCAGGAAAACCTTGTGAAATCGTAAACATGTACATTGTACTTACAATGTACCTAAATGCACGCAGCCTATATTTTTTAGCCGTCCATTGGTTTATTGTATATCTTCTTTGTGAAAGAGGTGGTCGCCGACTAGGTGTAAATATACCTGAAAAGGTGCACTGTGAAGGTATTTTACAGGACCTACAATGACTACATATCAGCGTGGTATCTTAGTTTACCTGTTTTCTAAATATTCTGTTAACCTGTGAAGTATACACAGGTACAGGTTACCGTCAAGGTACGCTCATGCATGACAAGTAGCACACACATACCCAGATAATCAAATCGTATTGTGTAACTATAAATAGCAAAGCCTTGTAACATCGGTGTATACGTAACGTTATAATGTTTTTTTCCTCTAACTCTTTTATATTGTATTGCAGCAAAACTGACTTCAATATGTTGCGAAAGATAAAAATGTCATACGACGTCATTCGATGTGTCGCTTTTTACAAAAGGAGCCATTATTAAATAATATTGAAGGGAAACAACTCATGATGTCTTGGCACATGCGTTTGATAAAGTTTCTTCCAAATGGAGGTTTTTATGTGATAAACATACTTTTTTTCAGGCATCTTAAAATGTGTCTGTTACCTTTCAGACATCTTGAAATGTGCACGTGTGTGTTCCTTTTCAAACATCATAGAATGTGTCTGTTCCCATCTTGGCATTCACGAATGACTATCATTCCTTTCATATATCTCTGTGTGTATAAAATCAACAGCTTGAGTAATGTCCACATATATATATGTTGTTTCCCATACAGAAACCTTCCGAATAACATTAGGCTGATGTTTTTTCTTTCTTTTTTGACACTTTCGATAGCATACGTGAGAACTATCGAATATATATCCAGAGTATAAAAATCATCGTACGTCATTTCATCTTTTCCACCTTTATTTATAGAACAATTTAAATTGATATCTTTGTGGAAAATAAAAACAAATGTATTCTCACTGATAATGTGATAATGTAGGCGAATTATTTATACTATACTATACAACAAATTTCAGCAAAGTATAAGTAATCAGAGGATGTGTGCGTGTGAGGCATCAAAATATAAGGTAAGACATACGAACCTAGCATATGACCACTATTACATGTCTGGTAAAATACATGCGTACAAAGCATATTGAATAACACTGTAACCGTATTAAATATGTACAGTGTGTTTAGGAAGTTATTAAAACATTACAGTTGGAAATATCCGATCTGACTAGAGTGATATGCTTTCTCGATACAATACTGTATAAATCTAATTGTAAATTGGTTATTATCAACGGAGCGTACGCCCAGCTATTAGAGTCAGGGTTTACTACATAACAATACACTAGGTAATGTTAGCGTCTCGTAACCGTGTGTGCAGTGGTGACCCTTTATAACACGTATGTAATACAATCAGTGTACATATACCAACTTCAAGTCTATATGTTTGTCTCGTATTTATTGTTGGTATACAAGACTGTTCAGCTATGTACAGCTAAGGCTATCTAGAAATGGAGACGAAAAAGCAAACGAAAGATCAGCCAAAGAAGGTAGAAAAGGAGGAAAAGCCAGAAGAAGAGGAACAGAAACCTAATTTAACTAAATCGTTGATAAAGGAAGGCAGTTTGTCGTTAGAACTGTTGACCTTGCGAGAAGATACCACGTTCCATGCTGGGGACTTGGTCAAGTGTTTGATACAACTACAGCTCACTAAACCTCTATCAGTGAAAGGTGAGTGAAAATATAAAAAAAAGTTTACAATTTTCCTTCCATAATACAAATATATAAATGTGTCTTTTCACTACATAGCATGTCAAATGCGTGAATGTAAGTATGTACAATTTTGTTTCCATATTATATAATATGTGTGTACAATCTCATTATTTAGCTTACAACATGTAGCTGGAATTTGATCTCATAGCATTTATAATGCATGTATTGTTTCTATTCAACGACATATTAAATGTGTACACATTTTTTGTTTAATTCCACAATATTGTAAGAATACAATGTATACTGTTTCTTCCATAAGACAAGTTGTTTGTGAATTTTCATTCCATTTTATAAAATACAAATACACGATTTATTCCACTAACATGTAAAACTTATATACAATTTTACTTCCTTAACACATGAGATATATATGGGTTTTTTTCTTTAACAACATGCAAATATAATGTATATCCAGTTTCTCTTCCAGACTCAATTTTACTTGACTGCTATACGAAATGTGAAAACAATTTACCCAATAACATTTCAGTTCTGGTATATACCTTGGTGGCATATAAGCTATTTGTACAATTTAATATCCATCAGATATTATACGTGTGTATGTTATGGAATAGAACAAGAGAAGTGTCGATCAAATCGTAATTAGAACTAAACACGAGACAGATTTATACAGAGACCAATGACAATATACATGGCAAATAAGACCAGGTGTATAATAACGAATGTAATGCACGTTTATTTTAAAAGATGTTTAGTACTCTGCATATCAAAACCATGTTTTCTTACGCTACGTGATATATATTTAAAGTTGTCACTAAACGTACAGTAAAGAATAATAGAGCAAATGGTGTAATACTTGGTCATTAAATATATAATATAATGCATATCTTATATTTGCATAACTATATCCCCTAGATGATGCGATGCCTGAATTGGTCGACTTATTTAATTCGTAGATAGAACTACTACATAAATAAAGGTGATGATGATTTTTAAATGTATATGTACGTTTTTACATTGAAGACTTCAAGATACATCTAAAAGGTTACCTGAAAACCAACTGGACAGATACGGTTGGGCCCAAGAGGAAAAACGAATGTGGAGTTCACAAAGAAGTGGTACATCTAAAGGAAGAAATCAAAACTAGTAAGAACAGTCAGATAGCATAGAAATAAATTACAAAATATTCTGCGTTCGTCTTATGTATTTCATGGTGAAAAATACATTCAATTGTGATAATGTATTCTGTATAATGTGCATTTGGCAGTAATTGTTATAATCAAATTAGCATTTTATGGTCTTTCAATGCATTTCTCGTTATTTTTTATGCATTTCTGATACATGACATACACAATGTAGTCAGATTATTGGAAAGTGGCGTCTAATGATTCAATTGCCGAGTATATACATCATATTGTTATGTCTGTGAAGTAAAATAGGGTCAGAGAAGGTATGAAAGCTGAAGAAAACGGTGCCGGTATAAACCCCATCAGGAAAAAGCAACCCAAGTGTTCTGAAGGGGTAAAAGCATTTCCAACTCAATTGTGGTCTGATATAACAAAAGTCAACTCGATCAAAAAATATAGGTCACTAGTGATCTCAGAATTAATGAGTCTGTTATAATTTCAGACATTTCAGAATTCCCGGTACTACGAACCAGACACTGCGATAATATTCACAAAGATGATATTTTTAACAGTAAAGAACGTAGTTATAGTGGTAAAATGTAATGGAACAAGAAGATGTATAACAATTATTGAGACTTAACACAAGGAGTTGCCGAGTGGTAAACTTCAAATATCTTATCCCAAAATCTCTCGAGATTTCTTTGTCAACATCACACAGGAGAGACTGATTACTTTCCTACTCTATCTTACCATGAACATAGACAAGTTGTAACGGCAAACTGAAATGGCAACAAATTACGCCACCCCCTACGTCAATGTCGAACGTGTCTTAGACTTTTGTCGTCTTGCATATTTTTGCACTGTACCCATAACGTATAAGCACTAAAATTTCTTTAGTTTTTGATTCGTTATAACTTATAAAGTACTAGCTGCTACAGAAATGTTAGTACCTTAGCGACACTGTTATTTCCTATGTATAATAATGCAAATATCAAAGAGGAGGAAAAATGAAATTGTTCGTTTCCAACGTTTCCTAAAACATTTTAAGCGATTACTCAGTAAGTGATTCATAAATGTTTGGTGAGTCTAAACATATTTTAAGCGAATACTCAGTTAGTGTTTAAAATATATCTAGTGAGTCTTTATGCTACGCCAATCCTGTTGTCTTTAAAAATCTATATGAAATAAAACCAAAACTCTTATCTAAAAATAAACTCTGTCTTCGAATAAGGAAACATAAGCGTGTTAACACTTATAAAAATAAGTGCGAGGAATTTGAAGAAATGTAGGTTGTTCTGTTTTTTTTACATCAACTTTACCTTGTAAAGTAAGATTTCGAGGCTATCTTTTTACATTTCAGAAAAGCCTTCTCAAGATGGATCCGTAACCTTTGGGATTGGTTTCTACAGCCTTCCTGTCAAACTTGATCTCCCTGATGATATCGTGTCGTCGTTTGAGAGCAACCGAGGTTTTGTCCGATATTACATATCGATTAGAGGCATTGTGGAGGACAAACCTCTTCTTCTTCACCTACAAAAGATCAAGGTCGTCGTTCCTTACGACCTAAGCAAAGATCCACAGAATATGGTATGTTTGCAGTAATATCAGATTAAGGATCCCTGTCTCCTTGCACTGTAGTTTTTCGTACATACAGCAAATCCTCTAAATTTCGTTAAAACTGATATAACTGTAGCACCGTTTGTCAAGAATATTTCCGTTTCTAATCACGCTGATATTTTTTTCTTCCTATCAGAGCATTATGGTTAATTTCATCTTTATTGGTTTGCAGAAACAGCTTAAGTACAAAACAATCAAATTGGAACTCGGTATGAAGACGATAAAAACAGGATTGGTAGACATTACACATCATAAACATCTTCCTAAAAAACAGATACAAAACCTGATGATCATTAAGTGTATAATGGTAAACAACGATATTAAGTCATCGTGGTAAACTCTGTGGTTGTGGTATGTAAAAAAAGAACAAATATATACCACTTCAACACTAGAAGAACATAACTGAGAAAAAATTAGGAAAGAATAAAAACCTCACCCACTTACCAAATACATGCGGATACAGGTATCCAGTACAAACAATTTTAGATACCAGGATGGGTTAGGGCGGACACACAAGTATCAATGTTGGAGAAAGGGTCATGAGGGCGGCCAGATTGGTTTTTTTCTTCATATGCGGATAAAAGAGAAAGCCATGATACCAGGAAAAGTCTATGATACACCAAATAAACTCTGATATGTAAACTTCTCATTTGGGCGAAGCTGGTATGCGAATGAGTACATCTACAACTAATGAAATCTCCGAAATCGATTAAGAGTATTGCTCGTAGTGAAAATTTAGGTACGTTTTTAGGTCACCTGAGTTTTAGCCTTATTGCTATCCGTTTTCGTCCGTCGTCGTCCGTCGTCCGTTAACATTTTACATTTCAAACTTAAAGTCAAGTTCTGATGGGGCGATTGAACTGAAAGTTGGTAGGAATAATATACTCATTGTCCTAACAAAGTGTTGTTATTTTTCGGGTCGATCAGAAATCCAATATGGCCGCCACGGGCGCCATTTTGAAAAACTATTTCAACCTTAAAGTCAAGTTCTGCTGGGCCGATTGAACTGAAAGTTGGTAGGAATAATATACTCATTGTCCTGACAAAGTGTTGTTATTTTTCGGGTCGTTCAGAAATCAAATATGACCGCCACGGCCGCCATTTTGAAAATACCCATTTCAAACTTAAAGTCAAGTTCTGATGGGGCGATTGAACTGAAAGTTGGTAGGAATGATCGACTCATTGTCCTGACAAAGTGTTGTTATTTTTCAGGTCAATCAGAAATCCAATATGGCCGCCACGGCCGCCATTTTGAAAAACTATTTCAAACTTTAAGTCAAGTTCTGCTAGGCCGATTGAACTGAAAGTTTGTAGGAATGATCGACTCATTGTCCTGACAAAGTGTTGTTATTTTTCGGGTCGATCAGAAATCCAATATGGACGTCACAGCCGCCATTTTTAAAAACTATTTCAAACTTAAAGTAAAGTTCTACTTGGCCGATTGAACTGAAACTTTGTAGGAATTATCAAATCATGGTCCTGACAAAGTGTTGTTATTTTTCGGTTCAATCAGAAATACAATTTGGCTGCCATGGCCGCTATTTTGTAAATACCTATTTCAAACTTTAAAAAAAGTTCTAATAGGTCGATCTCACTGAAAATCGGTCTAGGAATGATCAGCTCATGGTCCTGTCAAAGTTAAGTTAACATTATACTTAACTATTTTTTACTCAAATTGGTACATATTTCAACAACAAAAAATAATACTGTAGGACTCAGGTGACCGTTAAGGCCCATGGGCCTCTTGTTTTTTATTCAAGGTTCCCCTGAAGTTTATTGAACATCAAGATGTGGTTGCGTGTTGTTGCTACCGTGGGAAACTGAAGGGGAGGCTACAAATAGACAGAAGGGCTTACATACCAGGGGAGTGTATTACAGTGACCGGTATGATCACAAACCACACCAAAAAAGACATGAAGTTCACCAAGTGTTCACTGACTCTGGTAAATATCTTAAATTAGTGAATGATATTGTGAATAGCATAGCTTATACAGTTATATACAGAAAAAGGCATCGTTGATAGATGGATGACATAAACGATGAAAACGAAGCAGACACTAAAACAAAAGAAATAGAACCATGAATCCTTGCATTTAAAAATGTACAGAAATAAAAGACTTTCATTACATTATTTTGAAAACATGATTCCATATTCATCAATATATGTATGGATTTGCTAACATTAAAATGACTGACATGAGACCATCATTGAATAAAAGAAAATCAGAAACTGATATATATATATAGCCTTTACCTATGTGATGGATAATATAAAAACCGTTATAAAATATAATACAATTTTCATTCGATCCGTTTTCAGAAAGTGACTTACATAAAAGACAATTGGAATCAGAAATGCAAAAAGACTCTCCTGGCATTCGTTAAGCATGGACGAACGAAAGCTGGTGAGAACGATTATTGGGAGGATGTCGAACTGAAAGTCCCAAGTCATATGCCACCAGTACTTCTCAACTGTAAAAATATACAGATCAAATACTTACTGAAGGTAAGATATAATTTAATTAATTTGTAGAGACACATACACAGTATTAATCCCTTTTATATGATTTGGTGTGGTTTGGTTTTATTCTGTTTAACGTCCTATAAACAGCTAAGGTCATTTAAAGACGGCCTCCCCTGTGTGCAAGATGCATGCGTGTAGTGTATGGGGGGAGGATGCGATATATTCGTGTTTGTCTCCTTGTGATAGCGCGGGACTGATGCCGACTTTATAGTGCCACCTCACTGAAACATACTGCCGGAGACACCCAGCAGGACGCCCCACCCGATCACATTATACTGACAACGGGCGAACCAGTCGTCCCCCTCCTAATTTGCTGAGCGTTAAGCAGGAGTAGAAACTACCATTTTTAAAGACTTTGGTACCTGCTGCCCCAATTGCATGATCGTAAGAGGCGACCAAGTTTGGGACCTTATCTCTTCTCTCCTTTCTACATACCGTTCTCCTTCCTAATGTCTTCCTTGACAATGCCTCACTTTTGGCCATTTGTTGAGCGTTCGCCCCTGTGAGGAAGGCTTTGGGTTCTGTTCCTATCATATGAAGTGCGTGGTACAACATCAATATTGTTATACGTATACATATCATTATATATACTAGTATATATGTATGTATACATATATTACATATTAACATGTATTTCATATATAATTGTATGCTTTGGAATATATATCTTTTCTATAATATACGGCAAGTGCGTGTTAACACAATATAACATGCATACATATAATATAACATAATTTGTTGTTGATATAACTCTTTATTCCTGATTCAGGTTGAAACTGAAATGGCATGGTCATTTCCTTCAAAGCATACCCTGTTCAACGTTGTTTTGCCAGTCGGTCATATCTCTGCTAAACCGCCAGAAGAAGATGAAGAGGAAAATGGACAAAACCAAGACGGGGAGAAGGAGGATGAATTGATTGAACTGGAAGTTTAGTGATTGTATATATTTCTATTGTTTGAACTCATTCATTCTTTGCTGCAATAACTTGGGAAGTATTGACTGCTATGGTGACACCAAAGTGTTGACTCCTCTTATCAAACGGTCTAAAAATTGTAAAATAAAAACTGTCGCCTGTGGTGGACCCTGTACATTTTCGAATGAAAACTTGTCAGCATAGTGTAGAATCCTGAGTCGTCAACCGTATTGTTAAAACTTCTGTTGTCAGCGTAGTGTTGAATCAACATTTTGCAGCAGTGTAAGGAATCTAAGTTGTTAGCACGGTGTTGAATCATGAGTTTTAAAAATAATGCTGAGTTTCGAGTTCTTCAACAATAACAAAATTTTAAAAAGAATACTTTGGAATATGTGTATATGCATTCGTGGAATTGATTTAATTGTGTTCATAATAGTAAAAGCTGTAAATCCTTTGTTGTATTTATATGAATATGTGTCGTAAGTGTTTTATGTCCGTGTAGACTACACTGATTATCATTTAACAAATTGTCATTTTAACGTTGCTTATGTTCATACATTTATCACATATTGTTACCATTTTGATTTTAAATAAAAAAAATGTTGCAATATTTTACATAGTGTCTCTTGTGATTGTGATTATGTTAATGTGATTTAAGATTTCAACGAACCTGTGACTGTAACATTTGTGAGTATTTTGTTCTCTTTTGTTTGTTTGATTTTGTTTAACGTCCTATTAACAGCTAAGGTCATTTAAGGACGGCCTCCCCTGTGTGCAAGATGCATGCGTGTAGTGTATGTGTGTGTATTTTGGGAGGCTGCGATATGTTCGTGTTTGTCTCCTTGTGATAGCGCGGAACTGATGCCGACTTTATAGTGCTACCTCACTGAAACATACTGCCGAAGACACCCAGCAGGACGCCCCACCCGGTCACATTATACTGACAACGGGCGAACCAGTCGTCCCACTCCTAATTTGCTGAGCGTTAAGCAGGAGTAGAAACTACCATTTTTAAAGACTTTGGTATGTCTCGGCCAGGGGACAGAACCCAAAGCCTTCCTCACAGGGGCGAACGCTCAACAAATGGCCAAAAGTGAGGCATTGTCAAGGGAGACATTAGGAAGAAGAAAGTTATTTAGAAAGGAGAGAAGAGATAAGGTCCCAAATTTAGTCGCCTCTTACGATCATGCAATTGGGGGCAGCAGGTACAATTCTTACGCCATTTGTTCTCATCTGAATAATAATTATAAGAGCAAACTCGAATGATTTACAAGCACGTTTAGACTACCTAATATTGTCATACCACAGCGCGGCGTGTTTCCATTTTGCTACTATTAATACACACAGCCAAGGTCAAGGCAGACTTGTTCCGGAAGTGAGGCCCAGTACAGGGTAATCCACCTGGAGGCGTGGCAAAGGGAGTGTATGTATATATGTATGTAAGGATAATTTGTACGGTAATTTTGAAAGTAAGTTTGAATGTAAGTAAAAATGTCAAATAAGACAGTGAAAATAAAGAAATAATAATATAATTACAAGTAAGTATGAAAGAAAGTATGATAGCCCTCTTGTATGAGGACACATGATTGTGAAGATGCTGATCCGGGGACTCCCCAACCTCGGCAGTATCCTAAATATGCTGGGGAGGCAAAATGTTTATAACATATAAAAAAATATATTTTTTTTATAAAAGCTACATATTTTAAATTAAGGTGTTAATTTTGGAAATTCTGTTAATTCTCAGATATATAAAGTTCACAAAGCCTCAAGTCAATGTTCAATACATGACGGATATTTAAGGATATAACTATTTTTAGGTCACCTGAGCTTTAGCTCAAGTGACCAATTGCTATCCGTCTTCATCCGTCGTCGTCCGTCTTGCGTTAACATTTTAAATTTTCAACTTAAGCTGAAATACTGTCAAAGGGATTTCATTGATACTTCATGGGAATGTTACTGACAACTCTCTGACCAAGTGTTGTTATTTTTCGGGTCGATCAAATCTCAAATATGGCCGCCACGGCCGCCATTTTAAAAATCTTTTTCAAATTTAAAGTCAATTTCTACCTGACCGATTTAACTGAAACTTGGTAGGAATGATCGACTTATGGTCATGACAATGTGTTTGTTATTTTTCGGGTCGATCAGAAATCTAATATTCCCGCAAGTGCCGGCCATTTTGAAAAACTATTTTAAACTTAAAGTCAAATTCTACTGGGCCGTTTTAACTGAAACTTGGTAGGAATAATCGACTCATGGTCCTGACAAAGTGTTTTTTTCAGGTCCATCAAAAATCCGATACGACCGCCATGGCTGCCATTTTGGAAAAAAAAAAATCTAAAAATTAAAATCAAATTCTAATAGGCCGAATTAACTGGAACTAGGGCAAGGAATGATCAACTCATTGTCCTGACAAACTTAACTTAAAGTTATATACTTAACTATTTTTTAACTCAAGGTTTGGTAGGGATGATTGACATCATTATATCCACTTCTTATTTCAACAACAAAAATTAATACTGTAGTACTCAGGTGACCGTTAAGACCCATGGACCTTTTGTTTTTATAGCGCACGGTAGCTAATATGCAAAAACAACAACTCTTCGCTGTATATATATAGGGCGGATTGTATCGAACATTTGACAAATTCGTTGACTGCAGCTCTTTATTCGAATCCAGTTCTCATTTTGGAAACAAACAGTCATTTTGACATAAAAAAAATCCTGTGTATGTTCGGAGAAAGAATAGACCTGTCCTCTCCAAGTGCGCGATTGTTTGAGGTGACTAATGTGGGCCCCTGCAGAGTCGTGTTTCTTTCTGTGTGTTCTGCTCCCTATTGCATACATTTTCTCTTTCAGTTCTTCAGTGTGTCTCCCTGAGAACCACTGGTTAACCTGTAGTCAAAATAGCGTGATCGATGGACTGTCATGGATTTGTGCCATGATTATTAAGTTTGCTTGCTAGATGACACTTTAAAGCGGCCCTTTAGTGACCTCAGTACCTTTGTGTTTCCATCTTCATATGACACTAGTTGTTAAAAGTAGTTAATACACAATGCAGAGACAGATTGTATGCATATTCACTTGTTATTCTACGAAATCACTAATGTCCAAGTATTCTGAACCAAATCTGGTTGACTCTATATATTAATTATAATTGTATATTTCCTTGTATCCGAGACTGCTGGTATGAGTTGCGATTCAGAATTTATCATGCAGCTACTGTTTAAAAGACAAGTCTCAAACCATGTTTATATATTAAACATTCCATATCGTTATATCGCTGTATGTATATATTGCTACATGTTGGTCTAAATGAACTGTATTCGTCCAATATTTAGTTGCCCGATTTTGCCGAGGTAAATCTGCGGTCAGTCATTTAACTATTGTCTCTGTGGCTTTTAAATGTGGTTAATGCGATTCATAGGCTAGATAAATATACAATGTAAAGCCGAGCTTTATCCATGTGACTGAACCTTTTGTGACGCTCATGCACGATCAGTCCCGCAATGAGATAGGAAGAATCGTGTCTTAAGTATCTTGAAATCTGATCTTTATAACGTGGTTCACAGTATATGTTTAAAATACTAATTTAGACCCATTGGTATACCTGTTTGACGTCAATATCATAACAATATTAGATTGGGCGGCCAAGAAATAAGACACATTGAAGAAAATGGCGAGTTATTCCCCAGGCTGAATTTGGAATGCATTTCCTAAAACATATTCACAATGAAAAAAGCTGAAACCGTTCAGTCCGTTCTGAGAAATGGAGAATGTAAGATTCAACTTTTAAGTAAAAGGGAGGATGGATCTTTTAACGCTGGAGGAAAAGTGGAAGCAATCGTTCGATTACAACTTACGGAAGCACTGGAAGTGAGAGGTAAGCTGTAATGGGAGATATATGTAGGATGTGAGAAACACTGGGAGGTACTGCTGATTGAAGGAGATTAGCTATCATAGTAATTAAGTAATTAGAGATTGAAACTTGCAGTGTTCCTAGAACAAATAGGTGACCTTTTATAATAAACAAATCTCAAAATTATAGTGTGAGAAACCACTAGAGGTAGGTTAGCGATGGTAGCATTTTCCGATGTTTGACTTTAGGGTAACGTTTCATCAGAAACGTTAATGAAAGTGAATATAATAACATAAGCATGGTTCGAGGAAAACATGAGAATAACAAAATGCAAACTTAACCAGAATTTTATATAACAGAAACAAACACACGGTTAAATCTATAGAGAACGTACAATGATAATGAGACGATATGTTCTGCTTCATTAACGACACTTTCAATGTAAATACAGGAGAAGTGAGAACCGAAGTAATAAACGAAACCAGAAAGCACACTTCTGGTCATATTATAAACACTACCTTCATATTGCACAGGAGAGTCGAACAGTTAATCATCAGATCGTGATATTTGCAAAGATCATAATTACTTTCTTCGTTAACCTTGCAGATAGAAAGAGCAAACAAATATTCGTTCAATTGCTATAAACTACATGTTATCTGTCCGAAATAGCACTTTATGAGTGAACTGACACATTCCTAGATATGCTTTACAAACATATTATAATCGTTTTATGTTTCTATCCCGTAACTGTTATAAGCATCATCACCCTTATTTTTACGGAAGTTTTACAATATGAAAAGAGACTACATCGTCCTTATTTCTGTATTATATGAGAAATTAACTACATTACTCGCGTTTGATAGATAAATATTATATTTATATGTTATACACGACAACTAACTTACTGGTGTGAATTTAATTGAAATCTTGCATTACTACATCATATATTAAAAGTATTTTAGTGATATTATCCCGTGATTATCTCATATTCATTTTCACAACATCTTTATCAGAATGTACATCAAGGACCAAACAGAACATCTGTTTTCTATTTATATATTTGAAAAATACTACCAAATATTGAAGTTATTTGAATCTTTGTAATTTATATAACTAATCATTGCATTAAAAGATACAAGCAAAAATAAACAGAAATGAACAGATTGTCTGCAACTCTAGAGTATCTTGATCCTGGTCCAGGATTATATATGAGGCAAACGAGTTCAGGGGCATGCTCGTGTACTAAGCATGTTATTTATTATGAAAATGTAAAAGAAAAAACGTTTTGAATATGCCATTTTATTTTTATTTTATCAGGATTAGTGGCCAAACTTCACGGTTACGCTAAAACGGAATGGAATGACTCGGTGGGTCCCAATAGTTTTAGACGAGGAGGAAGACAGGAAATTATCAACTTAGAAAGTAAAATATTCAGAGGTAAATTAAACACTGTATTAAATAAAGGGTACGTACTTGGTACATTATAAAGTAAACGTTTCGAGCAGTTTACAAATAACTTATATACTTATTGTTATTGGGAATATTGAATGTATAGTATCCTTCTTTGAAGGAATGCAATCATTCTACCTATATCAAAATGTTGAAGCTTTCAAGACATAACGAATATAACCTTGGATTTGTTACAATTTATGTCTGCATTATGCATTTAAAAACTGAAGAATCAACTTAGACGTGAACATTTTCTACGATTCTGATTTGAAAATGTTGAGCATATAAACGTTATTTTCATTGATGTTCCATAACAATGCAATATTTCCAACTTAAGGAACCTGATCAATACAAGAATTCATATATGTTATGATATCATAGGTACAATAAATCGATACTGTTTTTAATTTATTTACCTTAATTTAAAAATTCGTTTCACCAATTCAAAACATCACTCGCATAACGTCTACTACTCGTATGTGCTAAAACTGAAATTATTCATTAGTAAATTTGAATTAATATTTAATTAAAATTAAATGAATTTCATGCAGTTGCAAAACAATAATCGAAACATTACAATTTTCCTCCAAATTATGCAAAGAAATCAATTTATCAAAGGTAGACTAATTATTTGCAGTTTCCTATGACTGTCTGGTCTAGGTAAAGGGAAATAACCGCTATTGACTGTTCCGTAGTATACAGTCACTTATGTTAACTGATTTTTGTAACATTAATAATAAAACAACCACCCAACCCCATTTAAGACATGTAAATATTTAACTGTTAGCCTTTGATAACCCTTTTTTAAAACCGCTTTTAATCTTGAAACTACCAACAGAGCCTCCGATGTTTCACTCTTCACTGTTAAATAAATGTTTCTGTCGTCTTCACGAATGTTATTTCTGATTTGATTTATGTAATGCCCGTTTTTTAATTAGTTTTTTTCTTACAAATTGATAAGGAGTTACATTTTTGTATATTATTCGTTATTATTACCCCGAAAATAACGTTTTAAGATCATGAATAATCTCAATGAAATACAAGCAAAATTGTTAATTTTATTGCCGAGTTGTGCTTATCTTGTGTATCATTTTATTCATGAACGAGTAAAACATTTGTATATTTATTGCAAACACGCGCACTAATTTTCGCATATGATTATAATCGTTATGTGTGTTTGCACGGAAATCTGACGTGAAATCATCAACGAAACTGTAAAGAATGTCGAGATGTATTTACACTTTCGATTAATACCGTGACTCGTATCTGAAAGTATATAAAAGTCCATATACTGGCCCTAACGTTGGTCATATCAAGGAAATGTCATGGTAATACACTCGAAAAAACACAGATTTACTGAACTTTGAAATCAATTTTGCATTGGAGCATAAGAAATCGTCAATGTCGTTACCTCTAATGGCTTTAAGGATACATCCGATAAAAGTTCTGATACTCTTTTTTTTTTGTTCACAGCGATGTCTTCAGGCGTTAAGACATACAATGCTGGTCCCCACGAGTTTCGTGTGAAATTCGACCTTCCAAAAGCGGTCCCCTCGTCCTTTGAAGGATCCAATGGGTTTATCAGGTACATATTGTACGTCCTAGCTCAGACAAACGCAAAGACAGAAATGCTGGATCCAAAGAACGTCCATGTCATCTGTCCGTTGGATCTCAATATGGATCCTATTAACGGGGTAGATGTACCAAATAGATAGTTAAGTTAACCTTGATATTATTTTTAATATTTTAAGTTTCCTTTATACATCTTTTTAAGGTGAACAAACATAGATTTGACTAGTCCAGGAGCCATAGTTAATGTGATAAAACTATTGGAGTTATGAGGCTGCCTCCTCTTTTCAATGTCAACTGTTTACATTGAAAACACAGTTTCATTGTTTCCATCTCCTCGGAAAGATACCATTTGACAAAAATAATATTATATAAATTTCTAATTCATATCACATGTGATAAAATAACATTTTAGGGTTTGACAATAACGAGTAATTTATAAAAACATAATGATACACACAGCGTAAAAATATGAAAATGGAATCATCCGACCAAGATTCTCGATTCGCTAAAATATATTACATCTGGTTTCTAGCGAATTAAGGACAATGAAATTACATCGAGGCAGGACATTATTCATATTAATAAATGTATTAACAGGTCCCTTGGCACCGATCAGAGAATAAAGATGTTGGATTGTTCCCGTGTATAGCGGGAAAAGTCAGCATGACTTTACAGGTAGATAAGAGGGGATATTGTCCAGGGGAGACAATTGCGTTGTTTGGACAAATTCACAATAATTCAAGGATGGTCATCGCCTTCAGCAGGTGTTCGTTAATACAGGTGAGTTATTCTAATACTTTAGGTGATAGTTTCCGCTTGTGTTAATCAATGTGTCGGTGTATGTATTGACAAACATGAATACAGAGGAGTGATCGTAAAACACAATAGTTATTTTGTGGACACATGATTTGATTTGTAAGCAGAATACACTAGTTTAACTTTAAAAGAAGTTGCGCCGAACATCTTCATTGAAAATATAAGTTATAAAATAAATTTCTTTCTAACGATTTAAATAACATTAATATATTTGAGATTTTTTGTGTTCGATGGAGACCATAACTGTATGCCTAGAGTAACATTTAATTCCTTCAACATTATATGATATTAGAATATGGGAAAAAATATTAAGCTTTTAGAAAGGGGCCGTGGTGGGCAAGTGGTTAAGGTTTCTAACATTCTGCTGCCGCTAGCCTTCCATCACTGGGTCGCGGGTTCGAGGCCTACGTGGGGCAGTCGCAAGGTACTGGCCGTAGGTCGGTGGTTTTCTCCGGACTTTCCTCCACCAGCACGGTTTCAGTAATAGGACGTAAAACACAAACAAAATCAGCTATAAGATGGTCATATTATGTTAATGGTGTTCTCTAAGCCTCCAAAATAAATGATTAAACAATCATGGTTTATAAATATTACAGACGTGTGCAAAAAAATCGTTTACAGAGAGTCAGATATTTACAAGACAAGTGGCACGACTTTGTTGAGAAGAAGAGTGTAGTCAGTATTAAGCACGACTCTACGGATCCTGGCTGTACTGATTCCTGGAACGGAGACGAACTAAAGATTCCTGATGACGTCACCACCAATCTCGATCACTGCAGGCTTATACAAGTCAAATATACTCTAAAGGTACATTGTAATGGACTAATTATTGATCAGAAATTGTATTAGAAATTTAGCAATAGATTGTTATTATCTTGACCCAACGCAGTGTATGCAAGGGAGTTAAAGCCGGTACACGGTTGGTATCGTATAAGACTCAATTACATAAAACTATGTAGAAGAAAAAGACATATACTTCCTAATATGTCAAGGCTGTATCTAAACAAAAGGTTAAGAAAAATCAACATACAATTATTTTAGCAGATTTTGATGTATTTTTTATTAGCCATTTGACTGTGTTGTTGAACAGTATATTGTTTTAGGATAATTTATCAGATATGTTTTCTGGTGGGTTTTTTTTCAGGTTGAGGTGAAAGTAAGGTTTGCAAAAACCTATGAACTATTAAGTATTGTATTGCGGATGGGCAATATTCCATCTACCAAGGCGACAAGATGTAAGTATAGATCATCACTTCTGGATTCATTTGAGATATATGCTCTCGTGAAAAACGGTGAATCCCGATTATCATTTTATCGGGTTGTTAGAAGTCATCCACACACGCTTAAACCCCTGACATACAAGTGGTATCATAGCATCAACGGATGTGAATGTTTAGATTAAGGATGGATGGTGAAATTCAGTAATCGTGAAAATAAAGGGTTTATCGGTAAATCTTTTACTTTACTTCATACCATGAATATGTACACTGTTATATAGATGATGTGACATCTGCGAAACGGTGTCCGTTCCATACCAACACTATGACTACACATTTAATGTTCAAAGAGTTCTTGTAAAATTGTCATTTGATTGATTTTAATATAATTTGGTACTCACATTTTCATAAATAAGGAAAGGTTTTCATATACAGCGGAGGATTTGCCCCGGAAAATATATTCACCCTGCTAATTAAACTTAAATCGGTTCTATCTTTGTTTTAGCATTGCTATGTACATACTTATTTTCTACCTTTCCGTTACTGCAAGCTATATGTATGCACGGCATTGTCTGTGATACCTTTATTTACATTTTGTAGTAAGATTAGTTTTTTCTATTTCCAGCACCGTTCCCGTTCCAGTGAATGTCATGGGTGTGCTCGTAACCTGTACAGGCTGCTTGTGGAATCACGCTATACTCAGGATCGGGTTTTCGATTAGACATTCACTTTATTAAGAATCGTTAAGAGTATTTCAGTGGACACGGAGAGAGGATATTGATTCAGCACCATATAAACTGACAGAGCTCATAGGGGAATATTCCTTAATCAGAATGAGTGTAAAACGTGCAATTTAAGTGTAGTATTATTTCATTTATACACGTGTATATCATATTGCGATGAAAAACACAGTATAGTTTGATGCAAAGTATACATATGTTTACTCAAAGGTTGTTTCAGAAACGTTAATGAATGGTCTGGGATTGCTTTGAATTGTTAAAGTGATTTTGTTTAGCTTGATAAAGATATTTTTATACTTGGTATCTCCGCTGTATACATTAAAATAGTTAGACAGTATATCACCAAAACAAATACGCATAAAATATGGACTTTTATCTTTCACTTTTGAATGTACGTGAATGACATTGTTTTAATTTTTATTTGTCACGGATAAATCTGTAACAACTTCAAAAGTGAATGATAATACTATCATGTTTCCCGTGGTACTTAATGTATATCTTGAACAATATGTAGATTGAAATTATCTTTTAAGAAATTGATTAATTATGATTATGACGAAAAGTCAATAAGCTTGGCTAGATTAACTTACTTAGGACTTCGTTTAGAAGTTATGATAGCTACTTGCTATATAGTAAGTGAAACATGTTTTCGTTACCAAGGAACATCAAACATGTTTATAATTCAGAGTTCCTAAACAACTTCCTTGGTCAGTCAGTATAGTATATGCTGTACATTTACCAACTTGAATAGAATTCAGTGGCGTTAGAGTTGTTCATCTTGAATAATGTTGAATTTAAAACGCTAGGGAAAAGGCGATTTTTACCTCAGTAGTATATCCATTTATCTATTTTATTTTTGTTCTTGTTTATTTCATTGTGTGATATGAATGATGATTTGTTATGCAAATTGTTCTACAGTGCTAAGAAACGAAATCCAAGAGATTATGGAGTATGTCTCATATCGCCATTAGTCGGCGGTGTAGACATTTCTCACTTTTGATTGGTGCTGAGTTTCAAGGAATCTCTTGCTTGTTATAGTGTCTAATCACTTGTGCGTTATAGTGTCTTGACACATATCCACAATATATAACAAGAAGTACAATGTAGGTGGTCCAGATAATCCCGATTTAGCGAGACCTCGAGGACCCAATATATAAACCAAAAAGAACATTCTACCGTTCATTGTAAATAACATTAACAATCGAATCTGATGTTATGTTTGAGGATTATTAATTACAAATAAAACAATAAAACGTCGTTTGTTTTTCATTTGTTTGAAAATGATTGTGATGTGAAATAAACAAAAGTACAATAGTGTCAACACACAAAGACAATATTGTAAGATCAATGTCAACATATTTCCGTCTTTGCGTATTGCAGAGTTATCTGCTCTTGTGAGCAGGTATTGATTGTTACGTCATTTGTTTGTGAGAGTAACGTCATAAATTTTTGAGAAAACGACGTAACTTTCTCACACAAACCAATGATGTAACGATCAATACCTGCTCACAAGAGAAGATAACTTTGCAATACGAAAAGACAGAAAAAGAGATACTAAAAGAGTCGCAGGAATATCATTACCTTCACAAATGCCGACGATGGTTCCTGTCGTCATTATGTATCCCCTAGACAAAATCTCCATTCGTCTTGATGCATCGTGATTGATTGATTGATTCACATGAATAATATTTCGTAACGACAAAACCATATACAAATGATATACCTGGTCAGACAGTAAGCAGTAAAATATGATTTGTAAAGGAAAGCAAAGTAAATAAAAACAAAAATGAAGGAAGTAGCGATTGAAAACTACAACTTGATTATAGTCGGGTAAATACCGCTCGATGAAGGTCACGTATCATAACATGTTTCTTCTATTAAAAGGTGTTTCAAATGCGTAAATCATGTCAATGTTCTTTACGAAACCATCATTTTACATTATCGAATGGTTTGCTGAATGATGTCCATGCCTGAATACATATAGTATAAGTTTTGCTCATTTACGTAATCCAAAGAATAACATTTATTATACTAAAATGTATTGGAATGTTTAAAATACTAAAACATCAGTTAACAACAGTTTTTAGAATATTTCAATTTCCCTTAAAATGCCCGAAAGCAACACATTTTGGTAACTGAATAATAGCAGTACACCAGAGGGGACTACAGATAAGAACTGGGAAGAAGTGGGAAGGTTTTCGAAACATAAAAGTATGCAGTGTTTCACAGCAAATAAAAAAAAAAGTAAAAAACATAATATTTATAACATTTTCCGCAAAAATTGATCTGATAAAGAATTTGACTTTAAACAATGCATTTAAAAAAAATGAACTCAATCTATTTTACGAAATTGTAAAACAAGTTCTATCAACTGGATGCGAATAGGGTCTTAATATTGGAGAAAATCAGAGTACTTGGAGAACAACCATTATGTCGGGTAAATTTTTTCATACCTTGAAACGTCTGATTGGGGAATCGAACTCCGGCTGTCTTTTCTAAAGATGTGTGTGCTATACATGCGCCATCTAATCACCCCTTTCAATAAAAGAAAATCGTAAACCTTTTCATCAACTTTTTCAGATTAAAAAAACCCAACTTTGTATCGAATTTTATGGTATTACAGAATTTGCTTTAGCAGTTGCTGAGAATAAAGATTGATACAGATTGATAAAAAAATATTGAGTGAGGTAGAGGATTTCAAATGTCATTTCTAATATAGACTTATCTTGATTGTACAACTGAATTATAATTTAGTTATTCAACGCAAACATTAACAACATTAGATGTACGTATAAGGATGACCAGTGATATTTTCCAATCTAGCATCGCTGTCTCCATTTCTAACATTAGCGTTTCTATCTGGTTTTATATATGCATAATTAAACAGTAAGATACGCTTTCTTTCTATGGCAGTTCTACTGTACTGGACATGTCTTTAACGATTTACCAACTGAGATAAGAAGTTCCGACAAGCCTATCGATCAAAAAGGAAAAACTATGGAGCTGTCACTGGAAACCCTTTAATTATCTTTTGTTGAGAACGTGTTAGGTTACAGCAGATGGATATTGTCTAAATGTGAAACTCTATTGTATGTTCTTCACAGATTCCGAGCAGATTAAATGTTGCATAACCAGCCTTTATAAATGTTGAAACATGACAATAGTGCCTACACCGAATAAGACGCTGTTTCAAAATACTTTCCAACATTAATCTTTCATTCCTTTTTCAAAAAGTGTGAAATATTACATTTCTCATTATTTAGCTGTCTGTCTTGTAGCTATAAATCACATAGGTAACTGATTACAATCGCAAAAATATGATGATCATAATTCCTTTGCTGAGATTGATAACGCTGTATGCGGATTTCAACATTTTAATTCAGGTTTAAGGGAGCATTGATTGACATCAAAGAAAACCTTATTTACAGAACTCTGTTCGTAAGTCCCCAACTTTGAATAACATATATTATTTTTTCCAAAAATAGACACTTGCAGAAATATTCGAAGGAATTTTGTAGTTGTCCTCACAGAAAAGAAGTTCCTTTAGCTACCGAGATACAGCAGAATGATCAAATCGTTCGCCAAAGGAGCTGATTAATTCATAATATGGAGAATTTCGTTTCCTCCAAACATGAAAATGGACTGTTTCGATAATTTTATATACTTTGTATGACAAGTGCCAAGCTATAACATTATGTCTTCTTAAATCAGACTTTGAAAAACCGGGCCCATTTTTACTGTTCTGTCTATAACTTTCATGGAATGCTTCAGTCTATATCAACATGTCAACAACATAATAATCATTATACTATTCACAAAGCAAATTTGCGATGACCATGAAATGAATTTTGTTTAACGTAAGTTTTATAACCCGGAATACTATGACATCTCAATGTACAAACGCAAAAATGAATTATTAAATTGATTTGAGTTGGCTTTTATTAAAAATCATCTTCTTTCTTGTGAATTATGACATTACACAATAACTGTTCGGAGAGATATGATACGTTTTTCTCCCATCCTTCACAGGTATGTGTCCCGTTTTAGCCGGAAAAGATCAGCTTGTCACCCCCTAGGGTGAAATAGCCTCGTGCCGATTAGCACGTGTTCAATTGTGACGCCATTAAAATGCGTCACCGGTAATTGTGACGTCATCAAAAGTGAATGACGATAGTCATACACCACATGTGTTTTTGTTTACAATACTGTCGGTGGTGTTTTGACTGAAATAATAGGATGGGAGAAAAATAGTCATCTCCTACCTTAAGGGCGTAACAGAGAAATATCCAACCCTCGGGGTGATTTTTTTGGTTGTCTTACTCGAGGGTTAGACAACAAAAAATCATCATCCCTCGGGTTGGAGATTTCTCTGTCACACCCTCAGGGTAGGGGAAGATTCTATTAATTCATATTGCCACATGCTTTAACATGTGACGAGAAAACGATGTACTGTATTCCTTGATAGCAACAGTGGCATTGTCGTAACTTTAGCTTCTTTCTCGTAATAAGATAACGGATCAAGTCAGTACGGAAATCGAAGTCAATTGAACCCGATAACTTTATAATACATATGTATGTAGGAAGTTTGAGGGATAACGGTATAATACATATGTATGTAGGAAGTTTGAGGGATAACGTTATAATACATAAGTATGTAGGAAGTTTGAAGGATAACGTTATAAAACATATGTATGTAGGAGGTTTGAAGGAAAACGGATGTTAACAAAACCGGTATTCCAATTATAATTCAAGCATTAAATTTATGATCAAACGAATGATTTGCATGGCGATATTTGGGATCTTTTTATTTCTCTCTACTTCTGCTACTTTTTATTTCATATAGCGCCTTGCTGGTTTCCTTTGGCATGGTATTTCAGTGAGATAGCACTGTAAAGTCAGCATAAGATCCGCGCTATTTCAAGGAAGCAAATACATCAGCATACCCTGTCTCCAGCACACATACACACATGCACGCATACATAACTCACATATAGACACACGTCCTAAGCTGAGCTGTTGATAAACAAAATACAACAAACAAAAACCAAGAAATCCGAAAGGGATTTTTTTTTCATCGACGCGCCGATATGAAATATAAGTCAAATCCAAGCAATACCACAGTGAGATAACGGAGGTATTGATTATAAAACAACAAGGCAAATGAGTGTTCACATAGATATACTCGTTACGTTTTACCCTTTAACCTTGACGGATGACCACAAAACACTGACCAGGTATAGAACTGAATGTCACCATACAATGATGTCAGTTTTAACTAAAGTTGTTGAGGGTTTCATGATATATCGTGTACACAAGTTGTTTTTACTACGGACGGACGTACGAGCTAAAAGACGTCCATATCATATCTCACAGAGAAATAGCATATTTCTCAATGATATCATAATACAACAATACAACTTGTCCATAATCTCTTTCGACATTTCTCTCTGGACATCCTGTGTTATAAGCTTGTTGGTCAGTAGTCAACTAAATAAAAATTTCTATCACAATATCATCATATTCAGAGCGGATATTGTGTATGTATGTGTAATATCCAATAGCATATATCAGCGATACAAAAACATAACAATACGAGGTATAATTAAAGTTCCGATATAGGAGCATGCTTTATTGTTCTAGCTCATGTATAGTTAATATTATATAATTATAAATCATTCAGATATATACATTACCCTGCATTGAGACTATCCTAAATAATAAATGCGTCATTACTACACGAGAATTAATATAAAGGTCAGTCCCATGATGTTAAGGATGTTCTTGCAGTAATAAAATCTCCCAGAACGTTCGATTATCAGGCTCGTCGCTATGCGGTATTTCTGTTCTCGTATGTGTATTAAACCAACGAAATTAATATTCATACATATTACAATGAATATTTTTTATATCTCTTTTCCGATTTGCGGCATCTCTATGAGCATGCGCACTGCGCATCCCTCCCTTCGGTCAAATGTCACTCATAGAGAGAAGTAATAATTATCACAGAGAACGCCTGCTGTTTGATTAAACCTGGGTCAAACAGGGTCAAAAGAATGCACGTGGGATGTTCCAACTACAATCTCATTGCTCTGCTAAATGCTAACATGAGTGTAAAATAAAATAAAGTCAAACGCAATATCTGTCTCCTAGTATTTACGTCAATTAAGTGGTGTGCATCAGTTGGTGTTAACAATCAAACAATGGCAGACGACAGAGAGGTGTCTGGATGCAGACGTGGCAGTACGGAAGGTAATTAATTGATTAGAGTTTATTCAACTACTGATATTTGTAAAACATTACTTAAAACTTTATTATATATCAAATATATAACATATCAGTATTTATTGATGTGTTTAACGGTTGTTAACATCAAGGCTTACCAACACATCAATCTCTACACCAACCCATTTAATGATGAAATGGTATTTCAGTTAGTATCATTATTTCACGGAACATAGTTATGAATACCCAATTGAGCTACTTCTATCTTACATTAAAAACACTAAAAGTATACTGTATAATGTGGATTTTTTAAAACTGTGCATCACATTCCTGTTAACATTTTCCAACGGTGATCATTTTACTTTTTAAAGTAGTTCATCATTATTTAACTGCAAGTCAATGTTTCCTTTGAGACATTTTTCAACACAATGATTATTTGTCTTATCATAATCGAATTCATCAAATGAACAGTTGATTAAAATTTTCTTTTAATAATTGTGTTTGCATGTATCTTTTATTATGACATTTTTTGTATTGTACAATAAAGTTTTATCTTGGTATTTTGTTCAAAAATTAATTTTACACGCTTGATCTATTTATAAATAATCATAATTAAAAACACTCGTCCATAATTTAATTGAGAAATCATCATGTGAAGTCACGGGGTCTGTAAAACTTCAGATAAATCAAAACAAGTTTCATATTCATCATTTTAAATCACCTGGCTACTTCCATCACAAATACGATTTTATACGATTTTACCTATACTTGTTATGACATGTTTGAGATCTATTTGTAAATATGAGATTGCTAGAATAGAATACAAATGTTCATAGTTGAGGTTGCACCATCAATTGTGAAATATTTAAGTTCGAAATATCTTAATATTTCCACAATAGAAATCACAGTGAAGTTCGCAGCATTAGTTGCGCGTCTCATTAACATTACTACTTGTTTATCATCATTAATATATGATTCTCTGCGATCTTGCTCTGTTCTCATTACCGATATGTCCTTACCATGCTACATTTGTCATAAGTACTTCTATACGGCTATGTTTAATTTATAGAATATACTTTGGGTTCATAAAATATTTGAACTTAGATGGTTCCGTAACTTCTATTGTTTCATAAGGAAGACACAATTGTCTCAATTACGGGGAAATCTTATGTTATTAAATGTTTGTGAAACCAAGCCTTGGGTTATGTATGGATATTGCTTCCTACATATAATATGATAATCAAGTAGTTGAATTCAGAGATGGTTTTCTTAATTGTCATTTAAAAAAACAAGTATGTTGATTTTATTGAGTTAATAATAAATGAGTAGTTGAAGATATTTTCTTTTTATTTAAGCCTTTAAGGTAATAAAAAAGGCAAGTTTTATTCAAATAACATCATATTTAAAATAGATGATGCGAATTTTTTTTTTTAAATATCTGTATCGGAAAACAAAACAAAGTCAGCTTATCTTTCAATGAAAATGGTTTAGCTTTGTTAACAAACAGAGGTGAAACATTGCCAACAGACGAGGTTATCTCGCTAATATATTCTGAAATCTAATCAAGAAATGAGACATTCGATATGCATTATATTTGCATTACCACGAGGAGGGTATCTGCGAAACTCATACTTTTTTCTTAAATGGGTTTTTACAGGAACGAACTTGATATGACATCGCTGTGTTTTCCCAAATCAAATGATATTTTCGCACGATCTACATGTTTTTAAGTTTTCTTTTTTCATAAAGCCATAATATTTAAATAATATACTGATTGGAAGACTCATAATGCCATATGTTATGAGAACGCGTTAGTCGTGTGCGACACAAATGAATGAACCGATGACTTTAAACAAGGACATCGTATCGATGTGTCCTATGTGAGATGTGACTTATGTATCAGATGCGACCTTTGTTAATGCCACATACTATAAACAAATATTATATCGGCACATAAAAATGACGTGGTTTTACAGAAACAGTAAGACACTAAAAGTGACCACCAATAACGCCGATAGTTAAGATGCGTTATTTCTGACTGATCGGATAAATAGGAGCTTAGATAAGATCAACACTTTAATTCTCCATTGACTGTCAGGTCAAAGTGTAATTAAACGCTAAAACCAGCTTCCTTGATTGTTCACAAATTTACCATGAAGCCATACATGGATACCCACTTTTCTTTTGTTCCGGTTTTATCACATCTTCACATATTTATACTCGCCAGTTATAAGAACCGATAATTTCAATTGTCACATTTTGCTTCGTATTGGTTTTTAGATTCAATTACATATTGTATTTATAGTGATTATATATTTATTTTACAAACATGTATTGCGGTCTTTTTTAATATAACTATGTTAATACTAAGCTTTATTTATCCCTTTGTTGTCCTTTTTAAATTCTATACATACCGGTTTAAATGATATCATAACCAAGTTATCATTTGACAACTTTAATGTGATTGCACTTGTTATCATTGTTGTAGTAAAACGTGATTCCCAGAGGAACAATAAAATCCATTAGTCTGGGATCACTCTCCTATACACAACACGATATCAACTGAATTGGTTTCATTTTCGTAAATTTGATGAATCGACCATGTTGGGAATAATGATACAACGTAGTATTTGAGAAAGATGATCTTCTTTTGATACGTAGAATACACTTACAGTGAGGTTCATTTCAGTTTAATATTACGAGGTAGTGCTCCGGCTGTTTCATACTTTTAACTACTTGAATTTGTGGAAATGCTGATTCAAAAATGTTGCAAAGTTCGATTATTTATCATTTTTGAGGTTTATATGTATATATAATAATTGAGTGAATAGTTTTGATACTTTAAAATTCTCCCCATACTTATGTTACATTGCGGAGTTCTGATTTATCCTTGTGGTTTTTTTTTGTTGTTTTTTTTTCATTTTCATTAATGAACATATAATTGCGGAACTATTCAAGCTTTTGAAACAGTTTGTTTATTTATTTATTTATTATTTTTACAATTTGCTAAAATAAAGACATTTAATCATTTACAGCAGTTTTTTATTGTCCGGGAAATCTACTAAAATTATGATATTTCAAAAAAACCATCTTAATTGGTAAATAATAACTGAAATATTGAAAGTGCCTATCCTGTTACTTACTAAATATGTTGTTCTTTATGTGATTTAAAAGTCCATGTGGTTTTGTTGTCACTACCCGAGTTCTAAATGCGAGTACATGACATTACCATGTTTTTATCTTATTTACGTGGCGCCACGGATATCACCGACAAAGAAGAAGACGTTTTTCTTTTCTTTCGGAACGCCCGGTCCTATTATCCCTGTCGTTAGTCAAGGGTCTCCAATGAAATCTTTCCATTGTTCATAATTTGCCCAATTTTAATCGATTCTTAGTTTGAAGTATAGTTTTACTGACACTTCGATATACTGTTGTTGCTTTGTGAAAATTATTTGTGATCAGAAATACACAATTGAGATAATTATTTTTGATGTTTATGCCTTTTTCTTGTCTAAAACGTTCTCATGATTATTATATATGATGGCGGATTTTAGAAAAGGAATGATAAAGGATGTTTCACTGACAAATATTTACCGGAGGGCCTTACTAAAGAAATAAAAAAAAAAATATACCCCGCGAGTAATAGATATGCTTATTATAGCATAGCTGTAATAAAAACGGTATCTTTAATTAGTTTCAGCTTCATTTTAGAGCTATAGAACGCGTCAAGAATTTAAATGGAGAATTCAGAAAGGATTTCTTATTAAATGGAAAAGAATATAAAATGATATACATGTATTCTATAATTCATCACATTATCAGAATTGTACATACTCATTCTGTATTCATGTCTATTGTCAGCAGTACGACGTCACAATGGCATATATGTATATTGTCTCATGCTCGACTCATACAGAGTGTTTTACACGAGGCAATAAAAGTAATATTAGAGTAATCACTATATAACACAACAGTAGTGTGATCGATTTAGAAACTACCCTAAATCAAAATTAAATGCAACATTTTTTAAGTTATTGAGTAATTACACTTTGTCGTTATCAAAAATAGTTTGTTATAATATTTACGATTATTTAATGCATTAGCGATCATCCTCATCTTTTCGGTAGTACCACTTGTTAGTCATATGTTACACTATTTTGACTAGGTAAAATGAAATGCAATCACATGACATTACGCTTTGCTCTACTCCCGACCGTGTAAACGCCTGTATTATCTTACAGTATTTATTTTTTAAAGCTATCCTCATGTTCTCTGAATCCTCTAGTAATGACACGTAACCTCAATAACACATGTAAATGAGGACGTGTCCTGGAGGTTAAAGAAATGCTAACATATAACACCAGTAACCTCAATCGTTAGGCTTCGTTATCAATAGTGATTTTAACAGCAAGTCTCCGTTAGCTATTTTAACTGCTATCTTTTTTGGCTTCGTGAGCATGCTATCTCTATCATGCGGCTTCGTTTTCCATGCTATCTTTAATCCTTTAGGATTCAGTAGACATTTTTTATTTATCTTTCAGGCTTCGTTAGCCATGTTCTTCAATCTTTAAGGCTTCGGTAGTCGTGCTGGGTTTTTTAACATTGAAGTTTAGTTTGCAATACTGTTGTTTGTTTTTAGTTTTTTGGTTTCGTAATCCATGTTGTAATTACTCATTGACGCTTCATTTGCCATGCTGTTTTAAATGTTTTGGGCTTCGTTATCCATCGCGTTTTTAACATTTTTTTAGCTATTTTATTTGTAACCTATTTGACTTCGTTACTATGTTCATTTTAATAATTGAGGCCTCGTTTGCCGTACTATGTTTTTAGGCTTTCAGGCTTCGTTAGTCATGTTGTTTTTAATTTGCTTAGTTAGCAATCTTGTTTTTAATCTTTTAGGCTTCGTTGACTACGTTGTTTTAGCCACTGTGGCGTCGTTTGCAATGTTGTTTTCCTCTGTAAGGCTTTGTCATAACCATTTTAACAGTTTTTTAAGCTTCATTATCTTTGTTGTTTTTAATCATTGA